GGGTGTCAGATTTACGTCTAGTATTCGACCCTTTACGGCTTTATTGGTTCATCCAGAAGCCTCCTGTACGGCGATGTTCCTCCTAGAGGTCTACAAGTAAACACCGCCTTCATACGTCTATTCTGGCGCTAGGTATCCCATTGGTACTTTTAGCGCTTACGCATTCGTGTGGCTCTGCGTTCATCGCATAGGGCCACGTTCATTGCTTACGTAGCCGTCCTGCATTACCGTGGGACTTGGACTGCATAGTAGTTACGAATACGGTAGTGACTTCACACGCTCCTGTCATATATATACAGTCGCTACCATGAATATCATCTAAGTCTTCTCTCTCCACCGAACGATTACCATCGTCAGCCTACCAGCTACCAAGCTACTAACTCAACCTTCAACACTAACTGCCCGGTGAGTTCGCGCTCTTATAGACTTCTCAGCTATACTCGCGATCGTCCTTTGTCAGGTGGTGGTCCCCCCCCTCAAGTAGGCCAGTCGGTGTTTCGTTTCTCACTTACGCACGCCTCTTGGAGCAGACGCGTTGACGCCGTGTGCTGCGTTCATCTTCGCTTTCATTCATACCACCATCATATATCCTATCAGGACGGCGGAAACTCCCTATAGGGCATGTCCGCCCGGAACCCCTCTGAAGGGGGTCGAGGCGCTATAATTTTTGGTCCCTACGGCCGCCCAAAGGCGCTATTAATCGTATCTTCAATCTTTCGACGCGGACTGCTTGGTCGTGCTTGGTTGGCGGGGTATGAATCTGATATGTGTTCCTCCCCTGTCTTTATGTGGCGTGGGACATGTTTTGAATGCGTGCGTGCGTCGATGTCTTCGTTTGTGGCGGACGCTCCTCAGTCGTTTGAAAGTTATGTATGGTTGGAGGTGGACGGCATTCGGTGCCGAAATCGAATATATTGCGCTGGGTGACCCGCCTCTCCTATGTGGCGTATGAATCGTGTTGCTCAATTGTTGATCTCTCCTTTATTCTACATTATCCGACATTGTATACCGCGTTTTTTTTTGATGCTATAGAGTTTGGCTTCGATATCCGTACGAGACCCTATCACCCTATTATCGCTATCGACCCTATTGTAGCTTTTAACGGCACCCGCGAAGCGTCTTCTCTCAATCTTGCCTCTCACAGTCGCTTCGAATCTACCGAAGAATCGAATCCGTCGCTCCCAATCATCACACAGGCTCCATACCTCACGCATCATGTCTACTGCGTTTGTCGTGGGTTTGTTCAGCCTCGTGAATGGCGATCGTCGTGCGGAGCAGAGCGGGAGTACGCAGACCTTTTACTGCTTCTATGAGACAGCATTTCGCTACAGCAACGGTTCCGAAGCCTCTTCGGCTCAGATTCGAGTATACAGCCCTTTGGGGGGCTTAACCCTCCCCGACGACACACTTGCTTTCGTGGTCGCCAAGGCATGCTTTGACCGCGAGGGCCCGATTCTTTTAGATGCTCAGCCACAGCAATTCTTTCCCTTCCCAGGTGATCCCTCGGAAGAGGCGTATTACGATCACGTCCCTGAGTTCGACTTCCCTCTTCTTTTTGCAGTGGGGCGTGTAAACGCTCCGTCAACCATTGATTCACTGCTTCCACCGTTGCAACGCTTCGATATTGCTGTATCAGAGTACGTGAGGAACACGGTGCAGCACAGCAAAGCAGAGTCAGTATTGTTTACTCCTTCGTAACATTTCCGCTGACGTTCTTTGTAGAATGGTATTTAATAATTCAACCTCACGCTGGGCCCATACGCCTACTCCAGCTGTTAATAGCAGTGTTGGTGTTCTAGGCATGAGCGCAGCCAAGACGTCCGATGGATACATTCAGTTCGAGTTGCTTTCTCTTGCACTAAACGTTTCAAACAACGTCTCCATTGGTGGATCAGGCAGTTTGGCCGCGCGGACTGTCACAGTGACACCGACCGCCGATACGCAGTCGAAGAGGGATCGCTTTTCCGCTCGTGCTAGTGTTACGAAGGGCGCTACGTGAGTAATCAGTTGACCCCAGTTCTTTATTGACGCTAATAATAATATTAATCTGAATTTTAGCGCGAATGGAACATTGGGCGTGGAACCTGGCAAGCATTCTCATGGAAAGAAGAAAGCGTTAGTCTTTCTTCCGTGATATGGCTCAATATAGCTGCTAACTTTACTTAGTTCCACAGAAGACGCTGACGTTGGGGGTGGTGTATGTACTCCATCGACTTCGACTTCGAGACTTCCACCCGAGGCGTATCATCCTCAAACTCCCGCTCTGTATGAAAGCGAGTCGACTTCCACGGCGACATCGACATCAGAATCTATTTTGGCACAATTGGAACCAGAACAGTTGAAAGCCATGGTGGCGATGCTGCCCCATAAGTCTGGTGATCGTGAAGATCGGCGATCACCTTCGCCTGCCGGACGTGGGAAGCGATCGCGTAAGTCCAAGAAATAGATGTGCATCGAACACATGTTTCGAAAGAGGGTCGAATGCATAGTTAGTTTTTCTGTGTCAGTGTCTCAGAATTTGTAACGGCTTCTGTGCTACACTTACCGCTTCGAATATCATCCATGCGTACTCGAATTGTGGATCCTTGGCGCTAAGTTCATCGTGGGCTGCAGATGCGCCTGCGTGCTTCTTTATGTGTGGCTGTCGGCTAATTCCGTACTCTGCATATAAATACAGAGACCTTTTTACCAGTATGTATTGTCGATAGCCTTTCAATCGCCCGTTATGCCTCTGATCCCCTTACCTGATAGCGACCTTTACGATCTGATGCGTACTCGATTGGTGCCCAAGGATCATATGCTGAAAGTCATGCGATTAAGTATATCTGACTGGAACATCCTTCAAGTGAGTTGGTCGGAAGTGGGCGTCATTAATAAGTATGAATGACTTTGTTTGTAAGAGTCGCATGCGGCCGATCGTAGAAGCTCACTTGAACAGAAACATACCCTTCGCCGAACAGCCTCAGGATCGTATCGCGTTAGCGGTGGCTGAGGTGAGTGGTTTGTTTCTTTTACAACATGAGCTCTGATAGTGTTTGTAGGGACTGCGCGTGTTGCCTGACATGGCAAACTACGTCGACTTATGGCCTTTGCCGTTGTACATCGAGCTAAACGTCTTTGATAATGTCCGTCACATGCAAGAACGGCGACATAAACGCACGTCGCGACGGTCTCGTCGGGTGCTCTCGATATCGGTTTGTCTTAGTCGGCTATTATCCCAAGTGTCGTTGACCGATCTCTATCACAGCGTGCCTCACACTCACGCGCTGCCGAGTTTAGTGTGGTGTCAGTTGATCCTTCCCCGTCCATCTCAACAACAGCCACGATGGTACGTTTTTATTCATTATGGACCGGTTTATCGCTGATTGCACTATCGGTCCCAGAGCAGCAGCCAAGGAGCCGACAGCTCGACTGGAACTGCAGTAGATCAGCAGCTGGCCATCTTCCTTCGCACTGATTGTGCCGTTCCGGTTATGAAAACTGCAGACGCTCTTGCCGCACTTGGGATTCCTGATATGCAGACGTTCAACACCGCTATTCGAAATGATAATGGAGAAGCCTTTGAAGAATTCATCCAAAAGAACGGCGCGTTTCATGGTTTGACTTTGTGGGAGATGTTCAGTTTGGTCAGAGGGGCGAAAAAGTTTTGCAATAGCAAGTAGTAGATTGGTTGTATTAGATGAGAACCTTCGGCGATTAGATTTTCCGTGGTTTTAACTGTGTCAGTGTAAATGTTTCCGTTTTACCATAGCTCAGATTTTGTAATAGACGATTAGAGTGCGTCCAGAACAGAAACATTGTGATCTTACAATATTTGTGGCTTTCTTTGCGGCCGCGCGTACAGTACGTGTCCCACTACGTGCAGACAGGAGAAAATGTAAGAATGTTTTATATTCAGTTAAAAAGTCATTCTATCGAGTAGGAGGTTAGTTTGGTCCGATTTAGGATTGATAATGACTGAACGCGTGCGAGAGATCTGATATAACTACGGAGCTTCGTTGCTCTGTGTCTAAATTTAGGAGGTAAGCATGCTGCGGTTCTGTCTCGAGAATGAATGATGTGTTCGAGTGAGTTCATACATACCGGGCCTTTGACATTCAGTGACAGGAGCGCTATCGCTAAGGAGGTGAGCTTGGCGCATTCGTGTCCCGTCACTGAATTATGTGTTTGCAATGACGAACGCTCTCTAGGAGACGCAGTCCGAAAAGCTGAATGCTTTATTACACTTGAAGCACCTTGGCGCTAGAGATCGCATGTATCCCTTTGCAGAATGAAGCCCTATTGACAGAAGTTAAAAACAGGCGGTGATTGCACGTTAACTTCAGCAATTTTTTTCCCTTTTGCTTTGAAATCTTCGAAACCTGCTCAACGACATCTCAGTTGGTATGTCATGGCGTTTGTTTGTTCTCTGGTTTTGGTTGAGGCCGTCGAACTCCTGCAGAATCCACTTGCATTTTACGGACTTCGATAAACGCCGAATGTGTGTATACCTCAGGTTGATATTATTCCGTTCTCATGTTGAATAGACTTCAAGCAATGCCTCACGCAGTATCTGAGTGGCAAACGGGCGCAATAGCGTCGCCTATGTTAACATGGGGTCAGGTGAGAGGAGGACGAAGGCACGAATGTTCTCACTGTGGCGTCGTTCTTCTCACTGGAGAACGACCGGGTTTTTGTTGTGGAATTCAAGGCGCTCGTCTTGGCGATGTCCCGCGCCTACCTCCCTTGCCCATCGAATACAATGACTTTATGAATGACCCCGGTATCTCCCAAAGCTCACGAATACTGAATCTCATATTTTCTTTTGCGGCGCTTGAGTCTACGCACGCTTTCCCTAGAGAATCAAACGGTCCTCCCGGCTTCATGGCTATCCAAGGTCGATTGTATCATCGTATTCGGCCTTCCCATCCAAACTCTGCTGTGCGATGGCTACTGTATGATGGTTTCATGCGGAACACACCTTTCCCCGAATGGGCAGCTCAACTTCCGCCTGCTTGGATCGATACTATGCGCGCTGTTCTCATCCGAGTTAATCCCTTCGTTGCCTCTTTACGGTTGCTGGTATTGGCAAACGAACAAGGTTTCCCCCATGCCTATTTGTCTCTTGCAGACTCGGGTTCGACTGCAGAGATTGCTGCTATAATGTACTATGATAATACATCCTCGAGTCAGGTTCGAACCCGTCGTCTCACTGTGTCGCGTGCTAGAAATGCTGTGACACAATCAATCCCTGCGGTTAGCCGTCTCTGGGAGCCATTAGTTTATCCCTTGCTGTTCCCGCATGGAACAATGGGGTGGGGGATTGCTCAATCGGAGGGAGATCTGGATGATGTTGTTCCTGCAGGATCCAACGACCATGCACAAGATGCCCCGACCACTCAGATGTGGTACTATCGGGCATTGTTATTACGTGAAGAACGGTTTGAAGTGTTTGGCCGTTTGACAAATGAATATCTGGTTGACATGTTTAGCCGGAACTTGGAATGCCGTCTGTCTTACATCCGTCACCATCAACAGCGGGTCCTGGAAGAGGACGCTGCACTTATGGGAGAAGACACAGTTGCAGACACAGATAACATATATCTTCCTGCATCATTCTTAGGTTCACGAGCTTGGTCTTCAAATCAAATTGCAGATTCTCTCGCTGTGGCAGGAGCCCTGGGGAATCCGACCTTTTTTATCACTATGACATGTAACTCTTGTTGGCCGGAGATTCAAGACCGTCTGCGTCCGGGGCAGACATACGTTGATATTCCATTGGTTGTGGTTCGCGTGTTCAAGCGAAAACTCGCCTGCCTTTTGCAGTGTCTCAGATCTCTCTTCCCTAATGTCGGTCGACCGGTATACATTATTCATTCAATCGAGTTTCAGAAGCGCGGGTTACCTCACGCTCACATTCTAGTGAGGTATGACACGGATTGTGTTCTTCCGCATGACATTGACAACATTGTCTCTGCCGAAATCCCTTCTGATCTGGATGATGCTCGCTTGGTGACCACTTACATGCGTCATAATCATCCCAGTGCCGACAAACCTGCTTCAAAATATTGTCAGCGTGAAGTTCCCAGTGGGAACCGAGTGTGTCGCTTCAAGTATCCTAAACCGCTGCAACATGATACATCCATTGATAACGAGGGTCGAGTACATTACCGCCGACGCCGGCCAGGCGATGAAATGATCGTCCCTCACTGCCTACAATTAATTCGGTACTTTCAATGTCACATCAATTTCGAGGTGGCTAGCACGTCTCATCTATTTCAGTATTTGTTCAAATACATTAACAAAGGTGTGTTTCTCCATATTCTATGTCTTTGTTATATTTTACGAGTTTGAATGCATGTAGGACCGGATACTGCACGCTACAACGTGGCACACCAACCAGATCATATTGATGAAATTGAAGAATACCTGAATGCACGGTATTTATCGGCGCCTGAGGCCGCGTGGCGTATTATGGGGTTTCACGTGTCGCAGAAAATTCCTTCTGTAACAGATCTGGCTATTCATTTACCTGGGAGCATACGCCGCCGGCGATATCAATCATCCGGCCCCGACACCTCGCTCTCATCTCTTGAGCGTTATTTCATTCGCCCTGTTGGATATTTCCTTGACACATATGGATTGCTTCGTTCTTTTGAAACAGTGACATACGCGGAGTATTTCACTACATTCCGTTTGGCACCTGTCCGAGGGCCCGCAACAAATCAAACTGCTTTTGAAGAGAGTCAACTTATAGACAACACACCGAGCATGCGCGTTATCCAACGTTTGGCACAGCGCACCCACTTATCTCGACTTCATTCTGTTCTTCCTTCTAAAGGGGAGACCTATTACTTGCGTTGTATTCTCAATGCTCGGCCGGTTCGCTCCTTCCAGGACGCTTTGCTCGTCGGAGGCATCACACATAATTCATTTCAAGAGGCGGCATCTGCCATGGGTCTGTTTGCCAATGAGCAAGAGGCATTTCAAGCCATGCATGAGGCTGTTGATGAACTGAAAACCCCACGACAACTCCGTGTATTGTTTGCCCATCTGTTGCTAAACGACTGTGTTCCGGCTCCGTTAGATCTATGGGAGTCGTTTAGTCCAAGTTTATCAATCGATTTTACTCTGCGCTTTCCCGATCACGAAGAACTATCAATCGGTCATGCTCTGTCTGACATACATAAAATGCTAGAATGTCAAGGAAAGTCTCTCGAGGATTTCGGTCTCCCACTCCCCAACATTGTTAGTCGTGAAGTAGAGCATGAACTTACTCGATGGGGTGCAAACCCTCAGATGCTTGCCGCTAGAGCCAGCAATGCATACATGTCAATGACTCAAGAGCAAAGGTTCATTTACGATGAAATAATGTCAGCGATAATGGCCGATCGGCCAATCTGCGCATTTGTGGATGGAAAAGCCGGCCGAGGAAAAACCTTCCTGGTTAACGCTATACTTGATAAAATCAGGTCTATCGGCCTCGTCGCTTTGCCAACTGCGACGGCCGCATTTGCTGCACAGTTATATCCTGGAGGAAGAACAACTCATTCAACGTTTAAGGTATGTATTGTTTTAATCGATTTGTTAGTAATCTTTAACCGTGACTAGGTTCCCGTGAACGAGCGTTCCGAAATGTTGGAATCGCCTGTAAATGAACAGACAGCTCGCGGTGACCTCATTAGGGCTTCCTCGCTTACTATATGGGATGAGGCACCGATGGCAAACAAGGCAGTCCTGGCGTGTGTCAATGATGTATTCATGCGGGTTACTAGCAGCGGTATTCCATTTGGGGGGAAGTCAATATTGCTACTGGGAGACTTTCGTCAGACTTGCCCTGTTATCAGGAAAGGAACTCGAGCACAGGTAATAGATGCTTCTATCAAGTCGTCTACGCTATGGTCGGAGTTCACGCAATTCCGGTTAACTGTGCCAATTCGTAACTCGCAAGACCCGGAATTCGCAGATTTTGTTGATTCGGTTGGAGATGGCGCTGGCCCAACGATCGATCTATCTATGGTTACATGCGTTCATTCCACTGATGAACTTCTGTCGTTTGTTTACCCTCTGGAAGTTGTGCAAGACCCACTTCTCTGCCTTAGACGTGCAATCTTGGCTCCCACTAACCGGCAAGTCGACTTATACAATGATACTGTACTAGATCAAGTCGCTGGGAATCCCCGTACATATATTGCTGCAGATTCTCTGCGGGAAGCGAACGAAAACGACATCATTCCGCCGACCAGTATCCTTGACTATGTTGCTAATCACACTCCACCCGGTTTCCCTCACCATACGCTGCGACTTAAAATTAACTCAGTGTGCAGGCTTCTTCGAAACTTTTCTGTTGAACTTGGGTTGGTAAAAAACGTCCGTGTTGTTGTTATCGGCCTCGGTGCACGACTCGTGACGGTCCGAATCTTGCGAGGTATTGGAGGAGTGACAGCCATAGACCCGGAGGATATACTTCTGCCACGCATCATGTTTGAAACAACCTTGCCGTCTGGCTTCACCCTCCTTCGCAAGCAATTCCCTCTCGCGGCAGCTTACGCCACAACGTTCAACAGCTGTCAAGGACTGACATTGGATTCCATTGGCGTTGACTTGACGAAAGACGTATTTTCCCACGGACAGTTGTACACGGCGTTGTCTAGGATTCGGCACCGTTCACATGCAATGGTCAGAGTACAACCAGGTAAAACGTCTGTAGCAAACGTAACATATCAGGAATTGTTAGCATAGGCCTCGCTTCGGCCTCGCTTCGGCTTGCCTCGGATAACCTCAAATTTATCGCACTTTCAGATAGTATTTCTCTTTGTATCGTATGTTATTTGAAGCACTGTTTGTTCTGTTCAATATGTCGGCGACCTTACAACGTCACTTATTTCGAGTTGTCATCTCCTTTGACCTCTATGATGTAATAAAATACATGAACATTCGAGTATTTCACTCTTTCACGTTCTTAAGAGGTATTTTATAAATGGCAAAGTTTAGCACTTCTAAATGTTCACGGCAAACTACATTCTGCGCTCGCAACCTCATGCAGCAAGTTACAACTCAAGTCCGTACTTCTGTTGTGCTTCAATCCGTTAGTTAACAGGCATGCAGCACCTCACGCTCAATCGGATCATATACATCCGACGTTAGTGTCGGTCAAATTCTCGCTCTCTTTGAACTTTTTGTCTGGAAAGGACTTAGACTGGTCGGCTAATTTCCGGCTCCTTTATCTTCTGATCACACGTGTACGTCTGATATTTTACAGAACGAATTGCATTACGACGCCCCTTCAGACAAGGCGTATACTGCTGTATGCCTAGTATGGCGTCGCATTGCTCATCCGCGTATTCGGGGTCTGGCTCCGTTTGCTGCTAACTTCAATGTTAAACTGATACTGACGATCATTTGGCTGTCCGGTCGGGTGCGTTGGGGACCTATTTAGGACACATATTCTCACGCCACCTTGAAGACCATCCTGGTGAACATGAGAAGGCTAGCGATTATGTGTACCGGCTTCGAGTCACTCAACATAATGCACACTTTACCATTGGATCTGTTTTTTGCAGAGGGATTACGGCTGCGCTTTATCAACACTTTCTTCTTCGTTGTGGCACAGGCCTCAGCCCCATCTTCTTCGACGCAAACGGCCACTACATATCCATCAACAATGGATTCATCGCTATGGAGCTTCCACCTATGGCGTGGATCCTCAACAGAGTCAATAAAGCTGCCAAGTAAGTCCCTTAATCGTTATTATATTGGTGGCACTCATAGCTCTCAGTCAAATTGGCGCGTAGGGGTTGTTTAATTTATTTACGCTGAGGAGGCAGTCTTGAACCTGTCCGAGTATATGTTTAGATCTCTGCCGACGTTGTAGGCCCCTCATTTACCTCATTAAGTTTTCAAACAGGAGATTTAGGAATTGAGCCGCTTTTCTATTGCAATGTAATTTGTCCCTATGTTGTTTTGCTGCTATAAGAGTAGAATGATTGTGGCGAGTTCTGACATGCCAGACTTCCCATCTTCGCTATGAACAACCATCCTGCGAAACTCGTTCACGCGCCTGCAATGAGCGCCGTTCGCCGAGGTAATATGAGTTCGGTTTTGCAATGGAAGATTTAACTGATTGCTCAGACCCTCTACGGGCTGTGGAGCTTAACCAGATGCGCAGACGATGCGCGGCTGCGTTTCAACGTTTGAACCCGAACATGTTGAGTTCCCGCATGGCAGAAACTCTGGATTTCTTGGCCGATGACATGGTCGGTTATTCGGCGTATCTGCGAATGCTCTGTATCATTGCAGGCAAGGTTAGTTCCACTATACTACGTTTTTAATGTGACACAGTGTTCATTATACGAAAACAGCAATATCCATGCCCCAATCCTGTCTATCCTCATGAACTGCGCGTGTTGCTGCGCTGGAGGAAAACATCTCATCCTGTGATGCAACAATATGCTCCGATCTCTATCGATTTTCAGGTGTCAGTTGGTGCTCATGCACACATCGCGACGCATCTCGCCACACTTGGCTTTCATTTCGGGACCGCACATCTTATGCGGTTTATTAGCGAGCGACTTGATTTACCGCATTCTTGCGTTTATCGAGTTCGAGTAGTCAGCCACAATCGCGATTATTCGATCGGCACTATCATGTGTACCAAGTTGTTCTTATCGCGGTACGAGGCTGTCGTTCAAGAATGCGAACTTAGCAGTTCGCGCAACCGACGTAAAGTTTGCGGTCAACACATCACTGCTTCTGTGCCTTTTCTTGACGCTTATGCGGATGTATTGGAACCTGTTGTATCGCGTCTGCACAACATTATAGGGTACGTCATTTTGTTTGATGTTTCAAAGCCTGTTTCTGATGTTCGTGGTTTCAGCGAATAATCCGAGGTAGTTCTACCACGAGACGAGTACATTTTGAATGGCCTGTATTGTAATTGATGATGTAGCTGTTTCAACTCGGATTGCGTGAATGTCGTCACTCTCTGTCCCATATGTATGTAGTAAACCGTGTTTCAAGTTGAATAAACGTGCCCTCTCCTTGCTCGATAACGCCCCTCTTTTGGACTGTATTTAAGTGTAGACGGTTCTGCCTTGATGCCAAACCTCTTCCGATGAACGAACTACCCCACTTTCCATCCGTGGCAAGCTTCTTACATTCCTTCTTCTCCCAGAGTCGAATTGAAGACAATGGTGCGTTATCATCCATCTCGTTGTTTTTTTCCTGTTGAGTTCGTCGTCAGGAGACTTCGAGGGAATGCCACTGTTAAAGATTAGTGACAACCATTGTATATCTGCTGCTACATTCTCGCACTACCTCAGGCAGACCCTGAATTGCTTCACTGACGGCTTTGTCGATTGGCCCGGTTATGTGTTGTTCATATGTTATCTTACGACTGAGGTGTGTGTCAGGCTCTTTCGCGTGCTCATTTCGATTTTGACCGCTTTTCAGGACTTTCCCCCTGATCTTCCTTTGTTTCCTGAGCGGGCTCATATAGTGCTTCGATGGGGCGCTTCAAGTCCGGATCTACGCGTGTCTGTCGGCGCGCCAATCTCCGTGCATTTTCACATATCGCATATTGGCGACAACCACTTGGCGGTTCGAATTGGCGCGTTACTGCAACACTTCGTACTCCAACATCTCGTGCTAGGCTCATGGCTCACTGACGAAGTCATTCCGAGCGACGCTGTTGAGCGCATCATTCTCACCAGCCATAATGCCCGCCACACTACCGGAGTGCTCTTCTGTACTGAGAAATTTCGGCCATATTACAACAAAGTATGTGGCCTCTGTCTCGCTCATGACCGTCCGACGACTTCGATGGTGGATGGTCATCACGTTACCTCCAACCTTTCTTCGTTCATTGCCAATGAACCCTATGGGGATCGTCTGCATGAAACTATAGAAGCGGCTTGGTAAGCACGAACGTTATTCAGGCAATGAATTTGGCTTATACAATTGTTTAAGGAGAGTGGGTCTGTGGGTCCGCTGAAAATGGAAGTTGACAGGGGTAGTAGCAGGTGTATATACAATGATTGAATTAGTGCGCTAAGGAGCTTGACGTCAGGATATTTACTAAGCTCCTGTATCCACTCTGCCCCTCCTGTGTGGACTATACATCATTAATCAGTACCCCTTACAAGTCGATGCACGTTCCGCCCCTCTCAAATGTAGTACACTTCATTTATTTTCTGACATGACCCCTCGTAAACAATTGCATGCTTAATAAAACGTTCCTAGGTATCTGCGAATGATCGCGTTGCCTCCTGATTGAAACATATCCTCCTAAAAACCTCTGTGTATATAATGACTCGCGCTTCGTTCGAAATTTCAGCATTCTGTTCATGATTCCGGCGTGGCTAACTTCCATGGACTTCTCAGGTGAGTGTAAACCGTGTCCTTTGGCCTGTCTGTGTTTTTTCTGATCGTACCAAAGGTTTTGACGGTGACATGTCACCCTTCAGTCGTAGACGTGCAGACGATCGTCCTCTTGACTTAGCCTTTGCGCTCCGCGCTGCTACTTCAATAGATTATGTCATTAACGGGTCGGCCGAATGGCCTGTGTTTGCTCGATTGGTGACATCTCTCGGACCTGTGCGTATTCTGTTTGCTATCATTAATGTAGCATTTACTGAATCGTTACCCAGTCATTCTCGTCTATCATGCATGGATTACCTTCCTTTGAAGACTTCCCCATGGTATTTTCTTGGGATCACTCGTCAGAGTTTTCGCGCTTCCATGGCCGCGGGCCAACTGTCATTCACTTTCACGTCTGTGGCGGAACCGGCCAGCATCGTGCGTTAAGGTCTTCAGCCGTCGCATATTACTTCGCATCAAAATACCTCGGGCCTGGTTTCTCAGCCGACTCCTTGGCGTCTTCTAACGTCTATGGGGTTTTCATCACGCGCCGTTGCGCTGAATACACTACTGGTTCCATCATCTGTACGGACGAATTTGACGATCGCTTCGACTTCGTCTCGGCCTTATGTGCATCTAATGCAACATTGAACACTCGCACGCTTGGGGGAAGGCACGTCACCATCAATGACGCCACTATAAACTTGCATCCTGTTAGTCTTGATGTCGCTATTCACCGCACTCTTTGTGCTGCAAGGTACGTGTTTATGTACCCATGTACTTTATGCATACTGACTCAATCGCCCCAGGCGTGTAAATCTTCTATGACATGTTCTCTTACTTATTGCTGTACTTTTATCGCCTCCTATGTATATATGAAAATGAAACAGTGTCGAATGGTGAAACGGGAAAGTGTCAACCTCCTCTACTGCGGTACAGCGTATATTAAGACCCAAAGCCTTCGGTTTTGATCCTACTTCACGCCTCGTCATGGTGTATATCCGTCCCTTCGATGACGACACTTACAAGAAATTCGTTAGGCGCAAATTTCCAAAGTCCAAGATGATAGCTCTGCTCGGAATGATTCCATCAGAGTGGGAAACACTCAAAGTGACTCTTTTGGTTTGTTCTTTTACGGTTCAGTTAAAATTTGTTGTTACAGAGCGTTACTCGTCCGATTGTGAAGACCGGGTTGAACACAAATGTCAATTTCTCTAACCAACCTGCAGGGCGAATCGCCTTCGTTGTTGCAAAGGTAGCGAGCTTTCTATGTTCTAATTCAATGTTTGTCACTATGCTAACGTGTCCAGGTCATAGCAAAAGTTCATTGGCTGGATAGATATGTCGATGCATGGCCTGTTGAGATGTACATTCATCTTCATCTAATGGACCGTGTACTGCGAGAAACTAGACGGCGTGGGCAATTCAGTTCGAAGGTAGTGGTTGATTTATTGTCTTTCTTGCTATGCTGACGTTCGTAGGACTCTTATTCCTTGGATCCCTCACGAAGAAATTGCTTTCCTCAAAGTTATCCTTGGCTCCGTGACATTGCCCCTCTCGCGAATGACGCTTCTCCGCCGTGCACAGCAACACCGCCCCAAGAGTATTCCATTGCTACCTCGGGTGGCATCGACCCCCTCACGAGTGACTAGTGACGCTGTTCCGCCGTGCACAGCAGCACCATCCCAGGGGTCTTCCATTGCTGCCTCGGTAATTCCCATGTTATTCACCTGACGTTGCCTAATAGTATTGCAAACTTCTATAGCTGATGGTCGAATCGGCGACAGCCCTCTCCTACACTTCTTACATAATGAATGTGGCGTCGACTTGATTCATCTCCTTTCCCCTCTTTCTGCGCTGGGAATCAGAAACATCGACACTTTCGATAGGGTGATTGTTCTTGAGAGCGGCAACTTATTTCTGTGTTTCCTTGACGCTTACCATGGCACGCTTCGTTTGACAGAGTTGGAAAAGTTTTGTTTCTTTCGTGCCGTTGATCGACGTCGGATCCGGGTTATCTCCTAATACTATCACATTCAATCTCTGCATTACTCGGCGATGAACCGATCTATGGTCCCTTTCGTAATATAGTTTCTATTCATCGACGCGGTCAATTCATCAATTTTTCTTTAAAAAGCTTCGGAGTGATCGATTGTCTCTGCGTAGCTCTTATGTCTCTAGCAACGCTTACTTCGGACTTGCTCTTTACACCCGCTGGTCATCGTCGTACGTATAGACTGAGCCAATTTTTATTTCGCTCTTAACTGAATGTTGGTTTGACAGTCTTTCCTAGGCTCTTCTCTTTGCGGGAGCGAGAGTCTGCCAATGAACTTCCGCTTGATTTCTCCATGGCGCGATACACTTCAAAATGTTTCGACTACGTAGGAGACGACTTACTGGCTATGCAACGCGTCGTTGTCTGTCTTCAAAAGATGATGCTATCCGAGGTGAGTCCTCACTTGATAGTTTGAACCGATATTAATGGTCATGTAGCGTATTTCAACCTCCACAAACGACATAGAGAATGACTTCAAGATTTTGATGGTCTGGTCGAGAGCTACTCATCACATGCGTTTCCATGGCCAAGGTCGATATTCCATTCATTTTCATGTCACAGGGGGGACCGATCTTTCAAACCGTTTGGGCGCTTTCATGTACCATTTCTCTGTTCAGTATCTTCGACCTCATTGCCATCGGATGGAAGGTCGCTTCGTGCCTTCATCCAACGTATTTGGCGTCTTCGTCACAAGGGACGGAAAGTCGTTCACCACCGGTACCATTATCTGTACCGGAGAGTTTGAGGACCAATATGACTCCGTGTCTATCGAATGTTCGTTAGACATCTCTAAGGACTCATTTTGCCATATGGGCGAACAAATCACCATCAGTGCCGGTTTGCTCAAGTCTAATGTTATCGAACTCGAACCTCTTATCCTGAGGGCCTTACTCGCAGCCAGGTATGTCTCGTCATGATATGATACTTAACATGCTGACATTAACGTCCCAAACAGGTCGTTGAATTTGATGTAGATACGCGTTTGTTACTAAACGTACCTCTGAATGTGACCTTAACTAAGGCGAGTGGACCAATAAACGTATGCCACGTGACTTAAACCTCAACCTCATCCGTTCGACCTAAACCTGTGCTTCGTTGGAGCCGGAGCGTTTATGCGACGGCGTGGCTTGTTTCGGACATACATGCTACCGTGGGAAATCCATTTATACGCCTAAGTTTTGGCTGAAATATTTGTAAATTGCATTTTTCGCTACTGTAGGCATGAGTGGATATGCATATGGATCGACTGATGGTGGTAATTGACTTTGTAAATTTTGGCAAAATGTCGGGCCGAACCCGCGACCTCGCACAAAAAGCTTGTCAAGAAAGTCACCTTACCGCCTCAGTCACGAGGTCATATTTGAGATTGCCGCGTCTTGAATATATGACTACATACCTTGCGTTCACACTACTCCCCTCCTGCTCTGCACGACTTCGTGTCAAGCTTCGTGTGCTTGTTCAAGCGCCAGTAGTCGCCAACGATAAGGAATGGGGATGAACTATCTTTTGAACTACCCACCAAGCAGGCTCTGAGGTAGTCTCTGATGGCATAGACAATCTTTTGGTCATCTACTCTATTAAAGTGGATGGCAGTAAGCTGGGGATACAAGAAATGTGTTATGTACTTAGCAGCGCATTTTTATGTACTGTACTTTATCCAAGTTGATTTCATTTATCGCCTCGAAAAAGCTGCGAAAAACCTCGGCAGTCAAGACACCAGATCAAGAGTTCAAATAGGATTTAGGTTTATCGGGGGTCCCATCATGCCCACCGGACCTCCAAAGGCGCTATCCCGGACATGATAGAGCCGCCGAGCGTGCCTGCGGCGCTATCCAAGCGGACATGGCCGGGCCTCTGCCAAGCCCCTCCGGGGCGCTATCAGCGGACATGCCCTATAGGGAGTTTCCGCCGTCCTATCCTATCCTTGCGCGATTATCCCTCTGCTGTTGCTAGGACGTTGTGAAATGCCACAGCTTCAGTTCAATGACCCCATTGGACCTACGGATGGTTCGCACACCGCTACCGTCATCTTCCTCCATGTATGTGCTACTCGGCCCTGGTCCCCACACACCGCCCATCTGACCGCGCAACCCTCGCCTTGTCGTTCATCACGGCCACTCCTGACTTCGCATCTCTAGGGCCTCGGCGCCGCCGGCCCGCGCTGGCGCGACGACATGCAGCGCCGCCTCGTCCAGCCTAACCCCTCCACGCTCTCGCACATCCGCTTCGTCTTCCCCAAGGCGCCCAAAGACACGCAGGGCGCCGAGGGCGTGACGCACGGCCGGGAGGCGTGGCACGTCTTCAACGACGGCAAGCGGTATCCGTTCCGCAAGATCGAGGACGGGGAACACGTGCACCAGGCGTCGATGGACGCGGCGGTGCTCGCCGTGGACGGGGTGCTGCGCGAGGAGGTGGGGAAGCTGAGGGGCAAGGGCGCGGCGAACCGGGTCGTGATTGTGGGCTTTTCGCAGGGCGGGGCGGCGGCGCTTATGGCGGCGCTTACGGCTGGGGAGGTCGCGGTGGGCGGGCGGACGGCGGGCAGGGACGGGTGGAAGGTCGCTGGTGTTGGTGTGATCGACTCGTATATTCCGGTTCCTGCTGAATTTGAACGGGTACGTCGTTGCCTTGCGTTTGCCTTGACTTGATCCAGCTACTCATGTCATTTTCTCAGAGATACTCGGCTCACGCGCACGCTCGCCACACGCCCATCCTATGGCGACACAACGAGGGCGACACGACGATCAACACGCCCGTCGGCGAGCAGTGCACGACAAAGCTCGCGGAGCTGTCGAGGCGATACGGAGGTCTCGCTCCTATTGATTTCAAGATATACCCGAGAGAGGAAAAGTCGCAGAGCCAGAACCACGTTCCCGAGAACAAGCAGCTAGATGCGCTGTTCGAGGATCTGGCAGTGTGGCTGCCGACCGTATTGCCTCCTCGTGCGTGTTTTCCCCCTGCGGCAGTCTATTCGGCTCAGGGGAATGTATTCTGATCAATCACGTCTTTTGCAGCATGAGGGTTGAGGAAACAGGTCCGATGCATGAGCCTGATAGCTGGTGCGCGTTCTGTGAATGGATCTGCTGATCATTTCGTTGACGGACGTCATTGATGGGGAGATCTAGATGGACAACGCGGTTTACTTCCAGAAGCGCCTTCCAGAAGTTCCGATCTACCCTTCCAGCTGCCAACTGCCAATGCCTAGTGAATTGAATAGCACGCGGGAATATCTGTCGGCGTATAGGATGACATTGCGACGTACATTGGTACTCGAGGGCAAACGACGTGTGGAAGAAACCGTGTTACAACTTTGTTTTTCGTAGATTTCCCAGAAAGCGATGAAGGTGTTAACATAGAGTACACAATGATGCATACTGGTTACAAGGAGACGAAGGCATACTACAGAAGAAATAACACATGTGTAAACGGGAAGGGATGACGAGGCATGATCAAGACAAGGAAGGGAGTACATAGTTCGCTGAAAGGCGAAAAGCATGATGTAGAGGCGAGAACATAAACTGAATGAATCGTAGAGCATGCCAGCATGCATCGTTCTTATGGGCCGTGAGCGACGTCATATTAACGGACCTGCTCAAGGGTACTTACAGGAGCAAGTCCGTGGCGCTCTTTACACGCTGGGAGGAAGGTACGACGACCCATGCGGATGATGCGAGACGACGTCGCCAACGCCGGCCGAATTATCGGAGTCAGCGGGATTCGCCCATTCCGCGGACTCGCCTTGGACAGACGGCATCCAAGACGCATGTGCGACGGAGTCAGATGGGAAGAGATTAGGGTTCGTTCCCCCGAATTGGGAAGGTGGAGAAGGGTTATGAGCGCGCTGTTGCTGCACGGGATAGAAAGTCTCGGAAGGGAGGGGGGCGCCCGAGTCAGATTGCATCTGGCTACCCGCACCCATATCCGTTCGCGTCTGCGTCCATCCATTACTCTCCTCGTACGATGTTACAGCTGTCAGCGCCCACTGCATGTTTGAAGGGGGGCCGCCATGATTTGGTATCGCCGACGCTGCGTTGGAGGTCGATGGTACCGACGATGCGGGGTGGTGTACTAAGTTGTTGCGGTTCTCTTCACCGGCGTGGGTGAAGAGACGTTGCGAGTTGAAGCTCGCTTGTGATGTGGAGCCGCTTCCCATCATCGGGCGCGAGGTCGAGGGAGTAGTAGAGAAATCGTGGTCCGTCTTTGCTTTCTTCCTGTCGCCGAAAGGCAGACAAGGCTCACGATGGATACCCAATGGGTCATCCACAGCCTTGCGCTTACCCTTCGCATCGGCGACGGGCGGGGTAGCGTCTGGTGCGCCGCCCGCTGGAGCGAATCCCACAGTCCTAGAGAGCTGCAAAGCGATTTAGTCAGTAACCTGTACCAGAGTGGAGATCGGTTCACGTACATCCGGCAGGCCTTGGTGGGTGTTGTCCACGGGAATGTGCACAATGGAGCGATTGGCGGGCTCGATGTACTGGTGCGTTACACCTATTGTTTTACCGCGATGGACCTGTTCGACGCTAACCAAAAACGGATGGAGAATCGGCACTCTCGGCCATTCAACTTGTCTGTTCACTCTGTATGTACTCCCGCCAGTCTGCGCTTTAATATGAGCGTACAGGGTCAAGAAAAAGTATCGAATGATTGCTCACCGTCGGGCCTTGTGGATCTTCAGGCACAAGCTTGAGCTCCCTCGAAACATCAAGGAGCATCGACTCGAGCTCCTGTATCCGTGCTCGCAGTTGCATGCGATCCACTGTTCGGCTCCCCCAGTGGAACATGAGCTGAGGGCCGGGTGGAAACAGACTATTGAACGTCTGCGCGCTAAGTAGCAAGCATCGAATGGCTTCGCAGTACATAGCGAGCGAGCGCATCCGCGGTCGCTCGTCCTCGGGATACATCTCGGCTTGAGAGTATAGCCACTGAGCCGACGCATAATGTTGACCGGGCGGCGGGGGTGGGAGGTGCTCTTTGAACGGTGAGTCGTTCCCTGGGGGTGGTGGAGCGTCCCTCACTGCAAAAGGTATCTGGTGCAGTGGAAGCGGAGGGCGTGTGCCGAGATGCGGCGGCGTCAGCATTGGCAGTGATGGCAGCCTGTCTTCGCCCACCTGTATCACGGTAAGCGTCTTGTTCATACAGAAATAACATCGATACTCACTGGACGTCGCTGAGCGTTGTCCTGCGCAGCGTACACTTGTTGATTTAGGGACGGACAGACCCCGTCCGCTGAACGTTGCGCGGAATTTACCAGGTATTCCTGCTGCGACGCTTGACCATGGTTGGCATGCATCGACTGGGGCGAATGATGCTGAGACCCGCTCACAAGCCCCTGTGATGCGGCAATCGCGTATTGCTGCTGCTGATGCTGGATCGTATGATCCTGAAGCGCACCCAGCGTCTCGAGATAATACGACTGAGACCCGCGCGATAGCAGGTGAGAGGCGGGGGTTAGGTACTGACGACTCTGGTGAGGCGCATGCACCGGGACGTTCTCCGGCTGAGGCGGATATTCCTGGTACACGCCGACACAGGGAGCGTTATAGCCTTGGACTGGTTCGGGAGGTGCGTCGTTTTGCTGATGGGAGTACACCTTGGCGTTGTAGATGTTCGACGGCTTATTTGATAATGAGCAAATTTCCGCGCTTTCTAGGGGAAAAAGGAAGGCTCACCATTTGCGTTTCGTAGCTAGAGTGAGCTTGATCCAACTCGGGTGTAACCTGGCCTTGGTAGGCGTATCCGTTCGACACCACATTCTGAGACGTCGCGCCTCCGGGGGAAGCATGAAGAATGCCTTGAGATGTCTCGTGGTAGTTAGAGACACCATTCTGTGCCACTGGCCCAGGCAAACCACCTTGAGTGTCCTGCTTGACCTTTGTCGTCAGAAACTTTATTGAGGATGAAGGTGAACCGGAAGACTTACGAGATGATGAGAACCTGGGTTTGCGCCGAGAACTTGGTAGACCTCTTGGAGATTTTCAGCCCCGCGTGTCTCGCTCGAGCCGGGCGCTTGGCCTTCTGCAAGAGGACGGGTGGCACCGTGCGCCTGCTCTGCGGCTAGCGCTGAACGTTGAACGTCCTGACGTTCAACCTGTTCACAAGCAAGAAGATGGTTAGTATGGTCATGGTAGGGTCATGTCGATGCTAGTGCCACTCACAAGTTGGGCCAAGAGCCGGGCGTTCTCAGGCTGGGGAAGAGGACTATTGTTCGCTGGAGCCTCGTTACCGTGACGATCGACTGGTTCCTGGTGAAAGAATTAATGAGAAACCAAAAGCGATGATGACTATGCGCAGCCTGTGCCACTCACCCTTTTGACCATGCGAGGCGTGCCGAGGCCCGAAGCTTCAGACGTGCCTTGCAGTGCGGCCTTACTGGGGATCAGAGCGCCAGGAGGGTGACCCAGTGGAGGCAGCGGAGTCGGAGCAGTGCGAGGAGCTATCGTTCGCACCTTGGCCGGTTGGCCATCGGAGCTGCCAGCAGTGCGAGAGGCCTGTGGGATAGACGATGCCTTGCGACGGCTCTGTGACGCCTGTATGGCACGGTACACGCTCGTCAGGCACGTAGTATCAGAGCACAGTGGCACTCACGTTGGATCCAGGCTTTCTGGCGGTGTTGCCAGTAGGAAGGTGCTTGTTAGTGTTGGGCGACATCTGAGTGGCACGGTGGCGTTGAGTTCAATAAGCCGATGGAAATGCGAAGTAATGCTCACATATGAGAAGTTTGCGTTTATGTAGTAAAAGGCGGACGATAAGGCGAGTGGAAGAAAGAGAGAGGTGGTGGTGGTTGGGCTTGGTTAACTTTCGTGGGGTGGACCTATAAAAGACACATATATTGCGGGGGAAGAGTCGGGGCATTCGCCAAACGCGCGACGCGTGTTGTTGATTCGCGCGGTTGTCGAAATGTTGGTGGTCACGTAATATTAATGCCCAGGGATGACCCTAGATAGCATATCTGTGTATGCAGGCAGTCCATCAGGCAGATTTTGCGCGTGATGCTCTGTATCACAATATGTCGGGGCTTCTTTTCCGTTTTTGTCCACTGATCCACGCCGTATCGAGCTCTTTAGATATTTGTAAAGGCACTAGCGTGTCAGCTTGTTAGGCTCGGAAAATCAGATAAGCCTCCGGAGGGAACACAGCCCTTGTTGATATAGAAAGCACGAGTATGCGCCTGGTGTATCGGAAAGTTAACTCAGTTTTGAATGAAAAGAACAAGGCCAAGGACCCACAACAAAGCAATGGTAGTCCCATTGAGAAAGCATACGCCAGGAGCGTGGGCCTGGGCGATAGCCCTTCAGCGCATCAGAATGCATGTCTGACGTGAGCATCATCGATACGCGTTGCGCCTGCTTTGTCGACGCAGCCTCTTTGAATCAAATGAATTCATGCGAATCAAAGCCCACAAAGAAACGTCAATAACTCCGTAACCAATACACACGCACCGAGCATGCCTGGGCTCCTCAAGGCTCAAGCAGCCACACAGCCTGCCGCATCAGAGCCGCATGTACGAGACAAAAGGATCAGCCCCTTACGAAGTCGACACGCGCTGAGGCAGTATATGTGAGTAGTATCTGTCAACAGCCGAAAGAAAGGACGCGATCATCAACTATACCTTCGACAAACCAACGTGTACGGGATCTTGTGTTTCGTTCGTCGCAGATTTATGACAGAGATTCTCATCTACAAATTGAAACTTCGGCATGTCCCATGCCAGGATAACGAGGGTTCCAATACGTAGTTATGTGACGTGCGCAATCCAACTGAGGACGACGCAAAAAAAGCTAGGCCTTTTCGTACGCGCGTTGCGACGTGTTGGCGTGAGAGGGCAGTTTGAGATCTGGTTACTGAGAGATCAATGGCGTGTTCGTTATTGCAAGATAACATATGGTGACCCGCAAACGACTTGTGAGAAAGGAACTAAGAAGTATCAGAGGATAAACGAAGTCCAGCGAGTCATCAATTTCCGGTCACCCAACCACCTGGAAGAGGCTCCAGCGAATGAGAAAGACCAAAACATGATAACGCATATAGGCTAGGTACTGAAAATGCAATGGCTGAAAAGGGTGGACGATTCAGCGTAGCTCAAAAGAACGCACCTTCATAGAAATCTGAGTCGTCCATCCATCTAATCTGCGTAAGCCTGAGCCTGATTAGGACTTTCTTGGCGGTAGATGCTCATGGAAGCACTAGCGACCGCTGACTCCAGGTAGGCTTGGAGATCGAACGCCCATAAAGGAGAAGCCTCCCTATGGCAAGGGATCTTCCTATCCGTGCAGTTAACACGCGACATTGAACATCGTCGTTGACCTTTGCCATTCTGCAGAGCTGGATGTGTTTGCTTCTCAATGCATGTTGGCGCAGGTCCGACATCTTGCTTGCATCTCCGGTGGCTGTGCTGTTCCGAGAGACGTGCGTTGGTGATTTTGCCCGTGAGAAAAGCAGAAATGCAAACTGTGATCACGTGCAGGTTTGGGAAGAGCGGCGACGCGTGTTCTGAGCCTTGACGCGTTCCTCCATCGACGACGTAACTTCTTGTCTAAAAGCCTTCATGCCACGAGTAGCAACTCAGAAGTCAAAGGTTCGTCTATACACTATCCTCCTCTCACAAAGCAGGCATAACCTATCTACTAGGTTGATCGGGCTCCGAATCGGTCAGTTGGAAGCTCGATGAAACGCAAGGCTCGTGAGCGCCCGCAGCCGAAGCCTCTAGAGGTGTCAGAACCTTCGAAGGAGCTGCAGCTAAAGAAAAAGGAATTTGTACCACGTAATAGGTTTGAGGCGTACTGGTGCGAGACTTTAGGCCCTGAGATAGCGGCACAAGTCAGCACCTCCGACGAGAAACTCAGGGCCAGCATGCTCAAAAAAGGCTACACGGAGGATACAGTGGAGGAGGGAATCCGTAGATATCACGCGAGAATGGACGCGTTGATGGACCTCGGGCAAAAGCCTATGGCTTGGGGTGTGCGTCCACATTTCTTCTCTGTTACTCCCCGCTAAGCCTTGGCGAACTCTACCGCAGTTCAAACCGCGTCCGGGCAGGATAGATGGCCTCCAGCTGATCGATATTCCTGGCTCTGAGCCCCTCGTCATCCGGCTCTACGACGGTGACATGGAGTCGTTCGGCCAGTTCTGTCTCGACTTCTACAGCCTCGAGACCAAGGCTGCCGTCAACACACCCTCGGGATGGGTGATCAATGTCGAACCTGAGCCTGGTTCCATGACGATGCTGTGTGGTGGTACGATGAACAGCTGGGAGCTCAACTCTGGGATGGCTCCGAGCCAGATTCCTGCTGGCGAAGAACGGTTCAGCATCGTTGAGGGAGCCATTTGCCACCTAGAGCGCCCAGGGATGGACAGTTTCTGGTTCGAGATCCCCAGACGGAAACGACCGCTGCCCCCCGGCGTGCAGCTCGCGAAAGCTAGGTCTTTTTGAGCGAGGTAATTTCAAATGTTCTTTGTCACCCAGCAATACATCGTTGACATGTGTCAAGGTGAGCGTTGAGTGAGAGGACGGCAAGAACGTGGGCAAATACTTCGTACCTCGTGCGCCTGGGTCATTGGCGTATGGCGCATCGGACCTCGGCAGACACGTCACTTCCTTCCTTTCTTATGAAGTTTAGGCTGCGGCGAGGAAGTGGTGGAAGGCTTCGAGACAGTTCATTGTGTTTCACCTAAACCTATCCTGCATATGTACGATTGCGGGTCCATAATTTATCCTACATCGCAGCCTGGGAGCTCTCTATTACATACATGAGCGGAATACATAATGTGAATGACTTTATACTCGAAAAAGAATACAGCAAAGCCCTGTATGATCATTCCAGGGGTTTCCACCCCTCAAATCGTAGTCTGGTCAATGGGCGAGGCATATTCTCTGCCAAAGCTAGGCCCTTTTGAACGAGGCTGGCAGCTCCTCCACCATACGCTAGTTTACATTCAGCCTTTCCTACAAAACTTAATTTGTTTGTAACATCAGTTTCAACGCATGCAGGTAGTTTGCCTATAACTATATCGTCACATTGAGTAATTGATCTACGCGATCACTGCTAGCAGTCGCTGTGCGCAAGCACTTCAATTACTTAAATAGCTTACATCCGTGGCTCCGCTATCAATGTTAATGAAAGCCAGCGGCCCGACAACGCCAGAAAACACTGGCATGCCAGCACTGGCTGAACTTCGGGCGCCGAGTCAACGGTCGGCGGATCCTTCAAGATCGAAAAAGAGACTGCTAAATGCTTACAATAGCTGTGAAACCCACGCGCCCAACAAATAGATTATCAAAGGGGAAAATACAACGCTTATTTGAGACCCCGTACGTAAGCAGTAGTACACTTGTTGCTGAAGAAAAGACGGGTTTATCTCGCTTATACACAGTACGACATACTAACGGCGGATTGCCCTCCGATAAGCCTGAACATGAGTCCCGTACTCTAAGGCCTCGATCTCTCGATGCACCGGATTGACGATCTTATACCGCGGAGGTTGCATATGGCTTGTACGAGCCTCGTGCTTGTAGTAATGTAGGTTTCTGGCTTGGCCCTCAGGGTGATAATCCACTCTGATTTTGGTGAACCAAGGAAGAAGATATCCAGTTTGCGCAACTCCACCAACGTTCACAATTCCGGGCATCTGAGCCCCCATATGCAGCCACTGAAAGTGAAACGATTAGAGATAGGGGATATTCAACGTGATTCGTGAAAACATACGGCGGGTTGATTAACCTGGATTGTAGGGGGATTTAAGTTTTGGATTGGCAGGTTCATACCTTGGATTGTGAGCGTAAAGTCGCCGGAAGGCTCGTTTGTCGGAGTCCAAACATTGGACATGTCGGGGGTGGCAGGCGGAGGCGTCTCCTGCCAGATCAGGGTCGTCACGAAGGGTGCGATACAATGCCCAGCCTGTCGAACCCTGTTGCGGCCATCCTCTCCGAAGAAATCGGTCAAATGTATATCATGCGTCTCCTGGCCTACAAACTTTGTCGCCTCAGCACCAAGGAGACCCTTCCAACCTGGCTGAGGTCCGTCTTGTGCCATTATCTCTGAATGCGCCAGGCGTCATCCAGCTCAGTACGGTTCTTATCGACAACGGAGTAAAGAGCGGGCTCACGAAAAGTGGGTGGATATCAAGGACAATGTGCGACGCGATGCCTGCTGGAAGAATAGGTGCGATGATGAGTCGCCTTGGGAAGAAAAGGAGCAAGGGTGTGTTCTCTTATACTGGGCCCGATCGAGTCAGCGCCGTTTATTGCCTTCGTGTACCAGTAAAGTATCTCAGATGGAATTTTCCTTACCACATGTGCTACCGTGTATGAGAGGACTCCCATCGCCAATTTACCGGCGATGCTTATCACCGCATTGTGTTATCAAACGAGTCATCTCACACTACAGGCAAATGCGATAATTCTGGGCCCGAAAATAAGGAGGAAAATACACTGGAAAGTAAATATTTTCCTCCATATTTCCCTTTGACCAACAGAGGCCGAAAAAGATTTATGTTCCGGTGAATTTTCAGGCGACCAAAACAAGCTTTGCTTCCATTTATGGAAATTTAGGGCTGGCGGAGATTTAATTACCGCTTCAACCTGCCTTGTTTGGCCTCTTGGCGCACCAGAAAATGGTAACTTTCCGCGTGCTTATTCCTCGCCTGAAAATCTGTAGGAAGATGTTTACTTTCCAGGTCATTTTCCTGCTTATTCTCGGGTACAGAATTAGCTCATTTGCCTGTAGTGTCATGCCCGAATGTGCTCACGTCCTAATGATTTTGAGAAAAGCGGCGCAAAGGGCGTGAAAACCATCCCCATGACTCGTACATTACGATCGGCGGGGCAATTCAAGATCGTTTTCCATGTGGACAACTGAACTAAGTATACAGCATCCTGCAATAAAGTGACTCACGTTGTTCGCTTTTGAAATAAGGTAGTAGCAAAGAAGGCGATGGAAAGGCCGCGACATGGCTTTCCATTGTTCTCCAACTGGAAAGGGGCTACGCCGGTGGGTCCCAGTATTTCTCCTGTCCTGTGACTGTCAGGCTATCATCACACGGAGAACCTTGAATGACTCTAGGATGACTCGACACACCGCAGATATTCGGCTCATGACCTGTGTCAGGGGGTTATAGAAGACATCGAAATCAAATTTCTCCAGAGAGGTTAGCTGCATCCCGCTTATGCGCGCTATCCCGTAGTCTCTGACTCGGTTTCAAAGGTAAAAATACCAGTTGATCGATAAGCCTGTGAAACAAGGCGTCGCAAATCCGAGATAATACTGATCAAAGACAGCTCGCCTGCTATAACCGAGGAACAAAGAGCATGTCACCAGCGGAGTTGAAGGTTTCGCTGCCGCTAGCTGGGTTTGACTCCGCTCGGCGCTTAAATTATAGCGGCTTCCTCAGAGTGGAGAAAGATACTTAAAATCTACTGTGGACCGACCGACCAAATCTCAGAACCCCATTCCTCTTTTACGTGGTGTCTCGACACTGCGCCAGCATTTACTATGTCAAGCTCAGACGAGTCTACGGTACGTCCAAAGTGCCACTGAGGAAATGGTCTTTGTACTCATTCACTGGTTCGTAGCGCCAGTCCCGTCCTCTTACTCCACCGCCGGTGAGATTTACGAGCTTAGCCCAGCTGTAGTATGAGATCAAGTGAAACTAACTCAAGCTGGTGGTGTAGACTGTTCGAAAAACGGTACAACGCAATCAACCTGCCCGTCCGCGTCAGAGTCAAGGTATGAATCACGATTTGTTCTTGCAGAGCTCCGAGTCTAAGGTGGAGCGCCGCCGCGTTGCAGCCTCTGGTGCGGCAGAGACCCAACGAACGTCTGTTCCAGAAGAGGGACGTCGCATCGCCAACCCACCCCCGGCCCCGAGTCGTCTCCAAGCTCCAGCGTTTGGTACCATTCCCAGTCGCGTCACCCCGGCGCCACGTACAGCTTCCCGGCTACCTACTCGCGCCCATGCTCAATACCCTCCCGCTCACCCCGTAGAAGAAGATCGTGCCGATACTCCGGAATCGGCCGAGTCCATTGACGGTGACGAGGCGAACATCCGGACATGCATGTGGGCTGGTACCGACCCTGGCCCATCGCGCGAGATAGTCGCGCACAACGCCCTAGAGGAACATTTTGTCTCTGTCCTTAGTGATGACCGTCTGAATCTCCTACGTCTTTGCCCCTCCACCGCGAGCTTAGACGCGTATCTGATCAATGTGTATGGGTATAACAAGAATGATCTTCCGGGTGCTCGTAAGGCTTATCACGAGAGGATTAATGGCATAATCGCTCGTGGACGAGCAGATGGGAACACTATACCGATGATTGGGGTACGTTGATCACCTTCTCTTCCCGCATCGTCGCCTGCTTACAGTATCGTCCAGATGAAGCCGAAGCCCGGTGATCTCAAAGGCGTCAAATATATCACCATTGAAAAGAGCGGAGACGTGGTCATTCGATTGTCCAACGGCGGACTCGAGAATCAGGGCCTTTGGCTCCTCGACTTCTACAACCGTCGTCAGAACCGCGCCGTTAACTCTCCCATGAACTGGAAGATTACTGTCATTCCCGTGCCCGCAACTCTTGGCGTCATGTGCCCCGGAGAGCTCACCAGCTGGGAGGCTAATAGCCTCGTGGACCCCATTCCGAACGGTGAGGAGAGGTTTAGTGTACCAGAGGGCGTCAAGTGCGTCTTGGAACGTGGTAGTGGAGAAGGTGCCCCTGCGCCTGTATGGTTCAGCGTCCCAGAAAGATTGGACAGAGACCAACCGATGAAAGAGTATGGCGTGACGTTTGTTTCAGCGAGAGACACTGCAGACGACCTGATGTAACAGTTAGCAATCATTGCGCTCTTTCTTTTCCTCGAAGCGATTTGTAGTATATCGTGTAACACCAAAAGTACCTTGTGTGCAGAAATGATCTTACTTTGACCGAAGCCTCTTTCGTAAAGCTCGTAGTGTCTTTTGGCTGGAAAGAAACAGGGCTGCCGCATCGGCGCCACACCGGGCACGCAGCGAGCACAACAGAGACAAACAACTCAGACACGCAGCGCGTCAACGTTTTTTCTGCATTCTGGGAATCGCTTTAACGCCCGCAAACATCGAGGGCTTTCAGCTTCTTCAACGAGTGCGTAGCGGGCGCGAGGAGATTGGGCACCAGCGTGCCCAAGCACGCCATGTACTGATTAGACCGACCGAGCCGGCCCTAACTGCAGTATCGTGTTCTTTCCGAGGCTATAAGGAACGACTATCTTCCGGAGCACATCGACGCCTACCCACGGGATCGCCAGTCCCGACCTCCCTCATCCAACCACTATCCTTCGGTTTGCCATACTTTGTGCCCTTGCACTCTTGTTTGTCGGCATCTCTCATCGTCTGGCTAGCAAGACTGCACCGATGGCCGCTACCACAGCTAGTAAACTTGTCAATGACACAGGGAAGCGCGCAGCGACCCTTATCTTCCTTCACGTGCGTTATACCCTCCCTTATGCCTGAACATGTCGAACATGTTACTCTCTTGTCCACCTCGCACTCATCAAACCTATCAGGGCCTCGGCGATACCCCATCAGGCTGGCGCCAAAGCTTCACCGCAAAGTACCTTAACGACCCCTCCTTGTCGCACATCACTCTTGTCACCCCGTCTGCGCCCCGTCGATACGGACCTGGCTACTCGTGGTACCACATTGGTGCACCAGATAACGAGAGCAAGACTAGTCTTAATGCTGCCCTCAAGATGTTGGACGCGCTCATTCAGGAGCAGGTCGATGCCGGTGTTCCGCAGGATAGGATTGTTCTGGGTGGGTTCTCGCAGGGCGCGGGGATGACGCTCGCTACCGCGTTCACGGCTTCGCAGGAGCTAGAAGCCCAGGTGCAGAAGAAGGAATGGAAATTGGGTGGTGTCATGGCGCTGGCCGGGTATGTTCCACGGGAGGACGAGTTCCGGAAGGTGCGTTCGAATTGCGCGCGCTTTATTTCTCTCGCTGACCGTTCGTTCATACAATGTGCACGCTACATAGGCTATCTCCCCAACTCTCAAAGATACTCCCATCTTCTGGGGCCACGGCAACGTAGACAGCGTGGTCAAATACCGCGTTGGAGAAGCCTCAATCGATAAGCTGCACGATCTTTCGCCGAGCCTGAACGTTTACAAGGTCAAGCACACCGAGGGCGATTGGCAGGCGGACACCGATAAGCGCATCGAAGGCGGAACTGGCGAGGCGTGGAAGAGCGAGAAGCACGCATGGATCGAGCGGCACGAGTATGATGATATGGATCACGGGCCGACGTATAGGTGGCACGATCAGGCGATGGAGAAGCATATGCGGGAATGGTTAAGGAGGGTGGTACCTGTATAGGTAAAGGAAGGCGTAATCTGTGAGTGGCCGTCGAGGGCGTTATCATCCCGTTGTTCCATGCTGTCTCATATTAGTTATACTGAAATCTGTTGCGTATTCAGCTAGATCATGATCCTATCGCATTCTTTATGCTGGTCACCTTCGATCTTTCCGCTAAGTACGCTGTAACTTGGAGCTTTGATGACGAGAGGGATAGCGCTGTCGCTACTCTCAATACAGACAGATCATGGGAGCATTTTGCTTGAGGAACGTGCGGTAAACTGAAAGCATCGATGGCGAGTTGGACAAGTTCGACAGACGGCATGTATGTGGACTTCTCGGGCGACAACGATCGTCGAAACCGTAACATTGTTTCCCATTCGGGAAGTAGGTTTAGAGCCAAATCTAGAATAGAACCGGAGTATGAACTAATATCTGGGGTTGTTTCTTTATCGCACCATCGAACCGACGATATCCTTCTGCCCAAACTCCCAGTTTCCTGGGCGAGGACGCTGCCAACCCCAGGTCAACTCCTGACTGCCATCGCGCCTTCGAATCATTCATCCGTTCACCATCGATTGCCATCCACCATGGGACAATACTGGATGTTCCTCAACATCGACAGGCGTGAAGAGAAAAGCTACGGAAAACTTGGCGAGTTCTTTAGCGACGGAAGAACTGGCAGAAACATAGCAGCGCGATTGTGTCAACTCAGACCTCTTCCAAAGATACCCAGAATCCAGTCGGATGATGCAGGGATAACCGATACCGAGTACGAATATGGCTTTCATCTGGGACGATTAGGCTTGTTGACCTTGATTGCCAGGTCGGTTGAACGTGGCTTACTCTCGCTGCCTGACGAGATCATTTGCCACATCATAAACGACATCGAGTCTCTCGAAGACTTCGTCTGTTTTGCGGCGACATGCCATAGATGCTGGGATATATGCATTCCTTTTCTCGAAAAGTGTATTCGAAGTTTATCGTGGGCTGGTTGCCGCATCATTGGCCTCGGAGACTATGTAGGGCACGATGATCTCCCGCCGGACATCCTCACCGAGGACGAGCAGGCTGAGCTCGCCACTGCTAAACCGGGAAAATATGGGCCCGTGTCCCTTTATTCCTACGCCAGAACTTACTATGGGGAAGCGGTTCTGTGTTCAAGACTCGAAGATTTCACAGACGGGTTATTGAGTGATCTCATTCAACGAGGTCTCGTCGGCGCGCCGTTTGTGGCCATCAAGACGATGTGCACGCCATTCGAGCCCACAGTCCTTCGGAACCTCTCCAAGAAGCTCTATGTGCGTGCCGATACCATCGACGCACTCAACGAGGAGCTTCCTCAGAGAGAATGGTTCTGGGACCACAAAGCGTATAGTCTAGGCGATGCGCTCGTAAGTCGCATCTGCTGGTCATCCGACCCTTCCTGCTCGATGAGAGCACACTGCAAGGACATCACGCGAGGACCCTGGGCTGGCGACGCCTTCGACATTACTTCCATGGAGGAGTTCCAGAAGCAGGAGGACTTCTCGCAGTGGGTGGACGCAAAAAAAGATGTCTGTAGAGCGCTGCGAGAATGCTGGGATGACGGATAGTATGTAGTTTATCAGTCGGGGGCCGCTGCAAGTCGTGCGCCAGGTGCGGTACTGTACTAGAAGGAAATGAGATCAAGGGTCATTTTAGAACCGGTTTTATGTCGATTCAATATACACGACCATCCCGATTCCTGTTGATCCTGATATGTTCAATCCAGTGTCCAATCCTCTGCGCCACACATTAATAATTTATTTCAGCGGCTGTGCGATTCGATGCTTGTTTTTCTTTTTAACATTGGCGACGTACAAAAAATTGTCGAGTAGAATACAAACGCGAGGATGGTTTTCGGAGATTATTTTCGCCCGGTTCAAATCCTCCAGAGTTGTTCTGGACGTGTGAGATTTCGCTAATTGTCGGGGGTCCAAATATCGTGTCAATGACCTCGTGCATCAGATGGAGCAAAGAATAATACGGCACCCCTCAAATGGCGTTCTCGCAGGATCGTTGCATGACGATGGCACCGCGGCTCGAACGCAGTTCCGCGTTGACAAGCGGAAGTAATTTGCCGATCATGGCCGCCTTGGTATTTTCCCAGACTTTGTTGGTAGAAGTCTAAACGTCTGATACCTTGTACTAAGCTTTTTCGGGAAACATTAAACTTCCTTGTGATCGTGCTCCCATTTCTAGGGCCTTCTCGCCTTGCTTGGACAACGCTTTTGTCGCGAGGCTGTGGCGCTTGTAAAAGCAGACAATCGGGCTCAGCAGCCCAAGTCACGGTCGGTGATATCAGTGCGTGCTTCGACGGGTACCTCGAAACAGACACGGGATAGAATGCGCTTCCGTCATCCTCTCGAGAAGCTTGATGATGTGATTGGCGCTCTCGGAGGATCTCAAACCCGGCGGCGGATCTATCAAATGAAGCCGATGCCTCGGGTAGCCGACCGACATGGCGGCCTCGACATATTCTCTATGGCCGTCGTGACTACCACTCCGAACAAACAGAGGATAACTTGCGGCATCATTCCCTGCAGAAAAAGAGGTTATATTACATAGAAAGGGTAACAAATTAAACGGGCTCCCGGAGCTGCAATAAGTGCAAGACCATCTAGCCAAGTACGGTCTCGAATTGGGCGCAGGCGATGCCAACATGAAGGTCCAGACGTACAGAGCCGACGTGACTGTACCAGGGGAGTCCCTGAAAAGAAGCCTCATGTCATTAATATTATTGTCTGATGGCAGGCGCATCGCACCGCAGCATCTCCCACAAGGATCTACAACAAAACACGCCACTGTGGCCTTGCCTCAAAGCGTGACTCGCCCCCACTTTGACTTGCTGTGTAGACACGAGTATTTAACCAGTTCACTCCCTCTCGACCTTCACTCCACTCGCGCATTTGTTTCTGCTTCATTCACCCTCACGATGGAACAGCTCTATGATCCGCTATTCGATACTCTCGACGCTGTAGTTCCTCATCTCCCTGTCGATCTGTCTATGCTGTCCTTCGACATGTACACGCTTCCCAGTGACACAAGCGATACAGCTGACTTCTTCAGCCTTCCCGGCCTTGATCTAGACGATGCAACTTATTTATCTCTTCTTGCTGATCTCCGCTCCGACGTCCTCTCGACATCCGCAAACCCGTTTCCATTGTCCTTTTCCGCGTTGGGACCTCCTGACGCTAATGAGACAACGGAGTCATCATCATCGTATACCTCTTCGAGTCCTACATCTTCCTCTGCTTACGGCACTGCTCTCTCTACGACACCACCCACCAGCATCCACCAAACTATACCGCTGCCTCCCGTTGAAGCGGAAGAGCTGACTTGCCTTGATGTATCCTCAACACCCGCTGGTACCTCTAACCATAGCCAAGCGTTTCCCGGCGTCGTCTTGGAACCTCGTATCATCCACGCTGCCTCTCACCCGTCTACGCTCTCAACCGCTCCTCGTGCGTCGTCCCGGCGCAAGACCGCAAGAAGTACCTCTGCTTCCAGGTCTTCATCAAGCTCGTCTTCCGCAGATAAAACAGCAAATTTCTCAGTCTACCAGGCTGATGTGAGTATCTCGATCCCTTTTCCTGCTTAGCGCGCTCACACGTAGACGTAGCCTGCACCCAGGGCCATTCCTCCGACTACTGTACCGACACAGACGATGTGGCGCCCAACGCCCCCTTCCAGGTAATTTCCAGATTGTTAGCCTCAGCGACACTCTGCTTACTTCACGTTTGTATGATAAGGCAAATCAAGGAGCCCTCGCAGACCCTTGTGAACGTGGTCCCCACAGGACGCCCCGGAGAGTACACTTCGTTACCGGAGCCACAACGAACGAAAGGGTTTATTCCATCACCGGAGACAACTCGTGAAGGGAAAGCTGAGCTAGTTCTCCTACCTAAACTTTCGGATAAATGGGCAAGTCGCGAAAGTTGTAACGCAGTCGCTGGATACTGACCGCATTGATAGGAAACCCCTACGAAGTTCGACCCTTACTTGCCGGAGAGGGAGTGTTGGAATTCCTACGGACTTAGGATACACGCCATCGGTCAATGCATCATCAAACAGAATCCCCCTGCTGTGGGCGATGCAGAGTTGGATCAGCTTCTTCGGATGGTTGTCAAGAGAGTTGTAGAGCTGCTCGCAGAGATAGATCCGATAAATCACGGGAAACTCTCAGCGGAGAACCAGACAGTGAGTGCTCATTTCAATTATGTAGGATGTGGCCGACGCTCATGTATTACTTTCAGAACGATGTTCAAACCTCGTCGACGGTCGATCCTACCCAGCATGTGACGGGTGTAATCGATAAGCGCATCGCATCATTGCTCACCAAGACGTCTCCTTCTGGTATACCGCTTAGTCTATTTATTTCCGATGCAAAGATCACTTACCTATTGTCTCCAGGAATTCTTGGTTCCGTTGAAGGCTCTCCCGACGCGCGATGTGAGATCGCCCAAGATCTTCCCGCACCCATCGCCCCCGTGCCTTCAACCAGCACTTCGTCTCCTGTCATTGATGGCGGGAAAATGCAAAACGTACGCCATCGCATCTGTTGCTACACCATTGATCTGCCTAACATTTATTGCGTGGCCTTCCGCTGCTACTTGTTACAAAAAAGCAGCAGGCGGGGAGTAGGAGGAAGAAAGGTCCCACCAAGTCGTCGTTGAAGAGATCGAGGGAAGACGACGAAGACGCTCTCTCTGCCCACCGCGGTGAAGAGAGCAAACAGAAACGAATAAAAACCACCAACGCGTCCACAGCTTCAGCAGCTGCGCCCGCTCAGCCGGCGGTTTCATCCGCTGGCCACTCCCCTTCTACCATTGGGGAAGACTCTGTAGGGCGACGGACGTACCCCTACCCGTCGACCTCGTCGTCTTCGAGTGGCAATCAGGGATGGGATCAAGGAGCCAGAAACGCGAGCGCAGCTCATATGCAGCCCCGCACGATGCCGGAGCAGATCAACTCCGTTCCGCCAACTTCCTCATCGGGTCATCGCGGGTACTATCAGTACCCGAGACCCGACTACCGCGCGCCGCCTCCATTGACTTCGACTTCGAACACGACCAACGTCGCGAGGAACGAGGCGCCATACCATGCACACCATTATCCTAACCCGCCGACGTACTATGGAAACCCTGACCCCATGGGCTATGGCTACGCTGCGCCTCGCTACAATCATCCGGGCCCTCAGGGACATGGTCACCCATCCAGTTCTCGAGGGTTTCAGCGCTGAACAACGTCGCCAACTCTGCATCGCATTTGCTTGTTTATTTTTCCGGACCGACCTTATACTACTATAACTCGCTATCGTCTCGGCTTTCTCGCTGCACAGTTCTTGTATCTTATTTCTAACGTACAATATCAAATCCTGGCTGCTTGTTTGTTTACCGCACAATAGGACAAGGCTCAGGAAGTGAAAACGAGTGTGCTGGATCTTTGCCTCGCAACATGGCAGTCAGCTACTCTGGAAATAAATCGTGAATCATTCGACCAGATCAATAGAAGGTTTGATGCCTTCATCAAAATTCACATAGAACACGGCAGGGTTGATCAGCTAATCTGGGTTATTCAAGCTACTTCACCAGTCGTAGGGGTTGACCATACATCGACCGTTTCAGGGTGCGACATTGTATCTCGGTGCCAAGCCCGAGGTCAGGGGTAAGCCAGCACCACCACCACTCCCGGAGGAAACACACGTTTATTAGGCTAGTCATAAATCCATGCACGGGCCTTCTTAATCGTTAAAACACTTCACGAAGAAACGAGCTTGACGGTAGAAACCAGGCAGACACGGGACCGCTAACAGACAACACTGTTGCCTTACGTCACCGTCATATTTGCATGCTAGTGGCATGACTGGACTGCGGAATCAAACTGACAAGCGGAAGTATCTCGAATATCATTCTCGCCTATGTCATTTCTTCCCAGACTTTGTCGGAAGAAGCGTAGACGTTTGACGGCTTACCGACTTTGTTGGACCGAGGGAGTGCTTTACTCCAGTTTATTTGTTCTACGTAATGGAGACTGCTCACGTAGCTCAATTTGTGAACCTATACAGGTCTCCAATGGCTACCACGATGCGGCAACGGAGCCCATTATTTCTAGCGCTTTCTGAGGTGATAGAGAAGCGTGATGAGTTGATTGTGCGGGGCAGCCCGATCTGAACGAATGAAGCCGACGCCTCGCGGAGCCTACAAGGCGCCCGCCACGGCCTACTAGCTGCGATGGAGTCGCCATTGTTATAATCTAGACGAAACGATGACTCAGTCAGATGAAGGGGAAAGTGACTGATGATTATAATATGTACCTAGACGAAACGATGACTAGGGTACATCAGTAAAGGTACGACGAATGCAGAGTGCGTGAATACATACCTCAGTCAGATGAAGGGGAAAGTGACTGAGGTATCAAACGAGACGAACGCGAACGTAAATATGAACGAGAAGTGTCACGTGAGTGTGAAGACAAGGTAAGACAAGGAATGCAAAGACGCGACGAATTGATCTATAGTATTCTGAACGCTAACACACCCCCTCAATGAGACGCGACGATGATTAAACCCAAAGAAGTACGGTGTTGAAGAAAAAGTGGACGAGCGAGAGGTTTCGTGAAAATGTCCGAAACGTTTTGAGCAGAAGGAACCCAGACAGGCTTGAAGGTGCCTTCCGCGATATGTTGGCGGCAGAAATGAAAACGAACGGCAATGTGTTTGGCGTGAGAGTGAGAGGACGTATGTTTCGTGAGTGAGATGGCGCCGGTGTTATCTACGCGTAGGAGAAACGGCCTGTCGGCGGGAACGTTGAGCGCGTCAAGGAGGTAAGAAAGCCATAGGCCTTCTTGAATGGCGCCTGTGATCGCCATGTACTCCCCCTCGGTGGACGACAAGGCACTGGTGGGCTGTTTCTTCGAAGAGTGCGAAATCAGACAGCCCCGATAAAACCAGCAGTAACCCGAAATAGACCGACGGTCTTCCGGCGACATGGCCCAGTCGGAGTCACTGAAGCCTGTCAGAGTGGGCTTCGCATCCAATGGGGCATAACGAAGGCGAACACTCTGAGACCCTGCAAGATAGCGCAGAACCTTTTTAGCAGCAGCGTAGTGGCGCGACTCGGGGCTGGACTGGAATTGCGACAACTTGCCGACAGCGTATGTGATGTCAGGGCGTGTGAGCGAAACGTAGAAGAGCTCGCCGACGAGCTTCCGGTAGAGGGACTGAAGGTTCTCGACTGGTTCGAAAAGGTCGGTGTCGCGACCAAAAGGGTGGTTAGGATCCATCAGGATGCCGATTGGGTTGCAGTTTGCAAGGCCGTAGTCTTCGAGAAGGTGACGAACATATTTGGTCTGATGAAGCCAGCCGAGACGTTCAGCCCTATCGCGATCAAACTGAAGACCGATGTATTCTGTGAGGGTCTTGAGATCTGAGATCCCGAAGCGGTCAGCGAAGCGAGACTTCACGTCATCAATGAACGGGCGGCTGTTGCCCGAGATCATGGAGTCGTCAACATGCCAAGCAGTGATGCAGAACACGATAGCGCCCCGCCAGTCGCCGTTGAACAAAAAGACGGCATGGTCAACTTCGCACCTGGTGAAACCGAGCGACTCTAGGAACTCGCGCAAGGTATCGTACCAGTCTGACGCGGCCTGACAGAGCCCGTAAAGTGACGAATGAAGGTGGCACACGAGGCGCTCACCCCCAGGCCCAAAACGCTCGTACCCGGGTGGCTGACGCATGTACACTTCCTCCTTTAGCTTCCCGTGCAGGAAAGCGCGCTTGACGTCAAAGGAGTCGAGCTCCCAGTCGTTGGCGACACAGAGGGCGAAGATGAGTTTGATCGACCCCTGCTTTGCCACCGGCGCGAACGTGTCGCCAAAATCGACGCCCGGGATCTGACTAAAGCCCTGAGCCACAAGCCTGGCTTTCTCCACCGGCCCCCCCTTCTGATCATGTTTAAGCTCAAGCACCCAACGACAGCCAATAGGTTTTCGATGGGACGGGACGTCGTCCTCAAGGACGTAGTAGATGACCTTCATGACAATGAGGCGATCCATTTCAGCGTCGGTGGCGAGCTTCCATCGGGGACTGTCCTTGCGAGCCATAGCCTCCGCAAATGTCGCAGGCGGAATGGACATATCGTAGTTGGGATCAGCAGGGTTGCGACGTTTGTCTGAGCGAACAGCGAGAAGGGCGTGTTCATGGATGAGAGCAGAGAGGAGAGGAGATTCGGTGGAGGGAGGAACATAAGAAACGCTAAAAAGGTGGTCCCCGAGCTCAGGCTGAAAAGAAGGGAGTGCAGCAAAGGCGGTAGGACCAGAGAGGACAAAATGAGCAACCTCCACAGCATCGTCATGATTGAGATGAGCAGTGCGAGCAGCGCGGAGGCGATGAAGACGCTGTGCACCCGAGGCAACATCAGTGGCAAACTGGCGACCGGCATCAGTGAGGACAGGAACGCGTGTGGAGCGACGTGGAGCTGAAGGATGATCAGCGCCGATGGGGGGATGATGTGGAGCAGGAAGTGACGGTAAGGAGGAGTCAGAGACGATGTCGTCGGGAGGAAACGAAGCTCCCGAGTTCGACTCGTCAAAGATGACATAGGCGGAGTTGAAGAACGAGCCGGATGCCTTGCAACGTACCCGCCAGCCCTTAACACCCGGAGGATAGCCCATGAACAATACCTCACGAGATTGAGGTCCGAACTTGGGACGAAGCTCGGGCGGAATGCGGGCCCATGCACGACAGCCCCAGACTCGGAGGTGAGAAAGATCCGGCTGGGCGCCGTGCGCAGCCTGATAAGGCGTCATACGAGGAGGGAGGGTGCTGGATTCTGTGCGGTTGTAGAGATAGGCAGCAGTAAGCACAGCTTCACCCCAGTGCGTCTGTGATAGGCCAGCATGGGTGAGCATGGCTAAAGAGCGGCCCTGCAGAGTCTGTATGACGCGTTCAGCGCGGCCATTCTGTTGGTGGGCATAAGGGCATGAAGTTTGCCGCTCGATGCCTGCCTGATGGAGCGTGCCCGTGAACTCAGCGGAAAGAAATTCACCTCCATTGTCAGAGCGAAAGTATTTGATCCGCCCGTCGTACTTGTTCTCCCATCGTGTGTGTAGCGTCACAAAAGCCTCCAGGGCTTGGTCCTTAGAAGCCAGCAGCTGAACATCAATGAGTGATGAGTGATCATTGAGGAATACTACGAAGTAGAGCTTGTGGTGCGGGGTGGCTGTAGGAAAAGGACCTGCAACGTCGGAGTGGATGACTTCCAACATACGAGAAGCGGGAGGCGATGGAGACGAAGGATGAGGATCGCGTTGATGCTTAGCGACAATGCACGATTCGCAGCGTTCAAGGACAGACGGGGAGCCAAGCTTGACCCCCTTCGCGAACAGAGGGAGACGAGTGGCAATGTTACCACCTGCGTGACCCAGACGAAGGTGCCACAAGTTTGCAGACTCAGATGGCGCAATGAAGAACGCCGCTGAGGGCTCAGTCGTGGGAGGAGGGATGAACTCGAGGTCAGCAAAACAAAGGTTTCCAGATAGAGGAAGATCTCCGAGACGAAGATCTCGAAAAACAAGTTCGCAACGGGACGGAGAACCTTTGAAGTTGCATTCCCAGCCTTTCGCAATGAGACGACCAACAGAGACCAGATTAATCATGGCCGACGGAGCATGCAGACAGTCGTGAAGAGCGAGGCGACGGCGAGGTTGACCAGAAATAGTCAACCACGCATAACAGGTCCCCCTCCCGAGAGCAGAGAGAGAGCCGTGGTTCGCCGTTTTCACAGAGACCTTGCCGTCAGCATCGTACGAGTGAAACAGAGAGCGATCGCGAATGATGTGGCTAGATGCACCTGAGTCGAGGATCGAGCTGAGGTCCTGTTGAACGATGCATGCAATGTCATCGGGCGAAGGCATGCCACCAGCATCTTCTGCAATGGAAGCACACGAGAACTCGCGTTCGTGAGACGGAAACGAGTCAAACGAGAATGCCGCGGTTTGCGAAGAAGAAGACAAAGTGGGAGCGGAAGACGACTCGACCGCAGGAGCAGCGACATGTGCTTTTCCTTTGGAGGAGGAATCCGACGACTTGTAGTCATTTTTGCCCTTATCGCCCTTGTTCTGCCAGGGTGCCTGACCCGCCATGCCCCCCCCAGGGCGATAGCAGTGGTCAAGGTCATGATCTGCGCGATTGCAGATAGTACACAACGTGCCCGACGGATTGTTTGTCGTGATGCGGATCTTCGTGAGCGGATTGATGATCTGACCATGGGAATTCATGGTCGTCGCAGCCGCCGCAGACTCCGGGGCAGCGTTAGCATACTCCGAGCCAGGCCCACCGGTGGCAGCGGCAAAGTCTAGAAGCCGACGGGATTCTGTCTGAATGCCACTGGCCACCTCAATGACCGAGATGACCGGGCGCTGCGGCGGGAGAAATGTAGGCTGCTGCTGCTGAGGCGCGAAGGAATGCGAAGGTGATCCAGATTGGTGCTGAATACCACCCCAAGCTGGAGACGGAGGAGCTTGCTGCTGCATGCCGAAGGAAGGATCGAGACGAGGATCAAAAGTGGACAACATTCCGCCCGAATCCAGACGTGCAGTGATCTGCATAATCCAAATCGGCCAGGTGCCAGACCGCGGAAGACCACCTAGGAGGTAATGGATCGCATCCCTATTCGAGAGCGCGCCGCCGGGCATGTCAGCAAGCCGGTTCCGTAGGATTGCATGCTGCGAGATGTAGCGAGTTGCATCCTTGGCATCCTTCATGCGAAGAGCACGGATCTGGTCCTTGATGACCATCTGAGACTCTGTGCTGACGTAGTTGAATTGAGCATCGATGAACAGCCAGACGTCCCGCGCAAAGACTCCAGACTCGGAGAAGGAAGGAAGCATGTGACGTATGTCGGGAGAGACACGACGCGTAAGGAGTTCGAACGCGCGAGAATCGACTTCAAGCCAGATCATATGCTCCCGGTGCTCCTCGTTTGTAGGAGACCAGGGATTAAGAGGACGAGGACAAAAAGAAGGACACCAGAAGGGATTGGTGGACGGCTCGAGAGTGATGTGCCGCCAGAGACCTTCTGAGATGAACAAACTGCGAATACCGAAGCGCCATTCGATGATGTTTTCAGAGCCGAGAAGAATGGGTATATGGTCCAGGGAGACCTTCATGGAGGAGGAAGCGAAAGCCATGGACACACCCGTGAAGGCAAGGAAAAAGAACGAGGGTAGCGAAGCGGCGACAAGAGTAGACCAGCGGAAGGGTCAAAGGCTCATAACCTGTTATAATCTAGACGAAACGATGACTCAGTCAGATGAAGGGGAAAGTGACTGATGATTATAATATGTACCTAGACGAAACGATGACTAGGGTACATCAGTAAAGGTACGACGAATGCAGAGTGCGTGAATACATACCTCAGTCAGATGAAGGGGAAAGTGACTGAGGTATCGAACGAGACGAACGCGAACGTAAATATGAACGAGAAGTGTCACGTGAGTGTGAAGACAAGGTAAGACAAGGAATGCAAAGACGCGACGAATTGATCTATAGTATTCTGAACGCTAACAGCCATGGCCACATTGACCCAGACTCTATTCAATTGTTGGAACTTCGAGCTGGCGAAAGTTGCCAAATGAAAGACAATAGTAGGCTCACCCAACAACGTAGAATAATAATAGTAGATATGTTGCAACGTGCTCAACATGCGGCCGAATCCAAGGTACAGGTAATGTCCAGGCATTGACCGGTCCAGCATGAAAGGTTCAAAGAAAATGTGCTTAGACGGAAGGGTCCCCGAAATAAACATGTTACGTTACTATGTCTGATGGTAAATCCGTCGTGCGACGGTACGGATCCATATTGAATGTACGCGATTAGGCACCCGCTGTCGCCCTCGAACTGTCGCTTGTGCCGCGTCTTGGCCTTTTAAATGTTTGGTCCCAAACGACTCTTGTTCCTCCAACTCACTCCTATTCCTCTCGCGCACTCTAATTGCTGTTTTACCCCATCATGTGCCAGCAGTACACACCTATATCCGATGCGCTCAGCACCATTGAATGGGACCTACTAGAAAATTTGTCGAGTAGAATAGAAACGCGAGGATGTTGCGAGTCGATGGGAAGTAAAAATGAGATCACGTGCAAGTTTGAGAAAAGCCACGAGCAACGCGTCTCTTGACGCGTTACACGCGTTCCTTCGGCAACGACGTTAGCTCCTCATCTGCAAACCTTCATGCCACGAGAACCAACACAAAAGCCAAAGGTATGTCTATACACTCGACCTATACTCGCAAACTAGGCATAAGTAACCTGTCTGCTAGAAAGATCGGAGTCCGACGTACTCGGCTCGGAGCCCGACGAAGCACAAGCCTCGTGAGCGACCAGAATCGCAGCTCTTAGATGTGTTGCAGCCGCCAAAACAGTCGCAGTCAAAGCACAAGAACTTTGTACCTCGTGATAAGTGGGAGGCGCACTGGTGTGAGGTCTTGGGCGTTGAGGAGACTGCGCGGATGTCACCCACCGATGAGCAAATCAGGGCTCAGCTGTTCCATTTCGGCTGCACAGAGGAAAATATAGAGGAAGGGGTTCGCAAGTACCACGCGAGACGGGATGAGCTGATGGAGCGCGGGGAAAAGCCTAAAGCTTGGGGTGTACGTCTGCCTTTCTTTATTGCGATTCCCGACTAAATATCGACGAACCCTACGGTAGCTGAAACCACGGCCAGGCAAGATGGATAACCTCCAAGCCATCGATCTGCCTGGCTCTGAACCCCTCGTTATTCGTCTCTTCGATGGCGACATGGAGTCGTTCGGCCAATTCTGCCTCGACTTTTATAACGTCGAGACTAAGACGGCCGTTAACACGCCCTCGGGATGGGTCATCAACGTCACACCTGAGGCCGGGTCGATGGCGATGCTTTGTTCAGGTGCGCTGAACAGCTGGGAGCGGAATCACGGGATGTCACAGGGGCAAATTCCCGCTGGTGAGGAACGTTTCAGCATTGTTGAAGGAGCTGTGTGCCAGCTAGAACGTCCAGGGATGGACACTTTGTGGTTCGAGATTCCCAAAAGAACACGGCAGTTACCCCCTGGTGTACACCTTTTGAAGGCGAGACCATTATGACATTAGTTAGACTTACACCATCACAATATTGCGACTCTGACGAGCCATGCGCTTTTGTTCAGTACGGTAACATCCCCCTTATCATGACATAACGATGGTACGGATAACGTAATACCCAACTAAAAACGCTATCCTCGTCAAAAGGACCCAGACAATGATGCTTCCTTCAGAATTCACTTAACCGCTTAATGTTGCTACGAGAACGTTGACTCTTTGGAAACGGAAAGTAAGACACCGTAATAACGATCAAGAGCAGTTGGTAAAACTCGGTCCATCATGCACGCATCATCCTGATGCCTCGGGCTCTCCGTACTGTAGTTAATGTCTGTTGCATGACTGCGCACTTGCGTCTACAGTAATGCCAAATGATATCCTATCCTATCCAGCCAACTGACTAGCGGCTAGCAAATTGGCGCTTATGTGGCGCTTATGGAGTTGAAGCGGAGACCGAACGCAAAATCAGATCACGAGCGCGCGTCCAAGGAGTGCGACGCGTACCGCGCAGTGCCTCGAAATTCAACCAGAGGTCAACCACCCGACCCCAAGTCCCATGCCACGCGCCCAGACTCTAAAATCAAAGGTATTTTATCCTGGCTTTTCATCAGAACACACGCATGATTCGGTCTGTCAGGTAGATAGGGCTCCAAAGCACTCATCACGCGACTCGGCAAGTTCATCGAAGGGCAAGGCTCGGGAGCGATCGAGTTTGCAGCCTCTGGAGGTGTCAGAGCCTTTGAAGGAGATACAGCCAAAGAAAAAGGACTTTGTACCACGTAATAGGTTTGAGGCATACTGGTGCGAGAGGATAGGATATGAGCTAGCGACACAAGCCAGCTCCTCCGACGAGAAACTCAGGGCCGACATGCTCAAACGAGGCTATACAGAGGAAACAGTGGAGGAAGGGATCCGTGCTCATCACGCGAGGATGGACGCGTTGATGGACCTCGGGCAAAAGCCTATGGCTTGGGGCGTACGTCTACATTTCTTCTCCGTGATTCCCCGCTAAGCCTTGGCGAACTCTACCACAGTTCAAACCGCGGCTGGGCAGGATAGATGGCCTCCAGTTGATCGATATTCCTGGCTCTGAGCCCCTCGTTATCCGGCTCTACGACGGTGACATGGAGTCGTTCGGCCAGTTCTGTCTCGACTTCTACAATCTCGAGACCAAGGCTGCCGTCAACACACCCTCGGGATGGGTGATCAATGTCGAACCTGTGCCTGGTTCCATGACGATGCTGTGTGGTGGTACGATGAACAGCTGGGAGCTCAACTCTGGGATGGCCCCGAGCCAGATTCCCGCTGGCGAAGAACGGTTCAGCATCGTTGAGGGAGCCATTTGCCACCTAGAGCGCCCAGGGATGGACAGTTTCTGGTTCAAAATCCCCAGACGGAAACGACAGTTGCCCCCCGGCGTGCAACTCGCCAAAGCTAGGCCTTTTGAAGCGAGTTAGTTTCGTTGCCCTTTGTCAACTAATGACACGCTTTTGATTCGTGTTAATGTGGACATGAAATAATCATAGTTCTCGCGTTTATACACTAGCCTTTCGTCATTCAACATCTACAAAGTAGTCCTCAATCAATCACATTCACGCATATCCGTTGCCTCAGAAAATAAACCTATGTGGTTTATGGCCCGTCATCTGCATGCCTTCCCCGGAGTCGACGAGTTGCAACTAGCTATGTAGCTGAGCCCTCGAGCCATCTCCAGAGGTGGGTTAGTATGCTAATTCTTCCTGTTGCCTTATAGCGCCACCTATCCCACCATATGCCTTTCTTGTCTTACCGGACATGCCTTGCCACGACTTTGAGTTAACGACGCCAACAACGTGGACATATGTTTCGTGCCTCGTGCGCCTGGATTAAGAGCATAATCATATGACAGGTCACACCTGTGAGACACGCTACCTCCTTACTGCGTTGAAGAATTGACGGAAGGCTTCGAGGCAGCTCATGCTATGTTTTACCTAAAACTATACTATTTGTGTACGCTTGTGGGTCCATAATTTATCTCGCATTGTAGCTTTGGAATTTTCCATTACATACGTCGATGGAATACGTGCGACTTGCTCGATTCCATCACGCTGGATAATCTGCTCGTTCTGGAGATCGCTGAAGACATCGATGCTTATATTCTTATCAAGAGGGTAGCCATGTGCATGTTGCGGGGGGAGAATGTTACTGGGCCCGCCTTCGCATGGAGTGGTGTCAATCCCGGACCAACCCGCGAGGTAGCCGCACGCAATGCCTTGGAGGAGCACTTCGTACTCCATCCTCGGCAAGGACGGCCCGAATCTCCGGCATGCCTGCACGTATTCCGAGGATTTGGGCATATATCCGCTGAAGGTGCATGCGGTGTGCTGAGGGCGAGCTGGCAAGTGCTAGCAAGGCGTATCACGGGAGGATAAATGATCTGGTCGCTCGAGGACGCACCGTGGCTGATGATGTTGTTCCGAAGCTCAGCGTGCGATTAACTACCTTGCGTTTTGAATAAGCGTTCCTATGTGATTTTGTCATTCGTCTATGGGGTGGCGCAGTCGAAAAGAAGCGCGTTTATCTCCTCGACATCGACAACCGCGCCCTGGAGGGAATCAAGTGTGTCTTAGAGTGTAACCCAATCCCGTGTAGTTGAGTGTTCCCACCACGCTGGACCGAGATCAGCCCATGAAAGGTGTCTCATTCGTTTCAGAAACAGACGTTACCGATGACTCGGAGAGCCACCAAGGTTAACCCGAGACCTGCAAGAATTCTTGTCTGGATGCTGGCATTTTTCTTTTCTCGAGTAGCGTATACTTTTGTACCACTATATTATTTCGCAAGAGTTAATTGACTTGATGGTGAATCAGCGAAGCTTTCACAACTTCCACTTACAAAAGTTGGTAAACCCTCTGGCCGTGAATCACGCACTCTAAGTCGGCAAACTTTCAGGTACTTTATTCTCCTTTCGTGTTTGTAATAGTGAACGTTGCCGGAAAGAGTAGAGCACACTACTACAGAAACGTCCGGAGGGTAAATGGTACGCGTTTGCTGGGTAGACTATAGTGACAAGTGTCTCCGAGTGTGCAGCAACGATAAAAGGCTTTGGCGCTTGAATGCGACAGAGCCAAAAAGGTGGATCTGGTAACAGATGGGGAGGTCAGGCTGATATCGTTGATACGAGGGAGCATGGCTCGTTTGTTCACCTGAGCTTGACAGATATCTGATAAGCTAGGACCAGCTAGCACTCGATCTGGGCTTGCACATGAAGATGGACAAATGGCTGAGTGCATTCGGGGCTGTATGAAATTGGATGAACGTTGAAAAACTCATTGTCGTCTTGGTAGCAACGGCACCGAGGTGGTTGCGAGCAAGGAGCGAAACGCGGTTCAGATAATTGTCCGAGTGACCAGAAAAGGGAAATTGTGGACACGGTGATAGATTAGACGCCCAGACGCGGGACTGCGGGGGCGATGTTCATGCGAGGACACCGGCGCATACGTGTTGCTCCAATCTTTCTCTTTCTCCTCCACCCACCATGTCCCCAATACACAGGACAGCCCTTTTGCTATGGGCAGCACTACTAGCATCCTTCTTCTTGGCAGGCCTCACACTCGCACAGGACCCGCAAGACAGCATATCATACTTTGACAACTCGGCGGCTAAGCTATTCTTCTTTGACGACTCTTCTGTGCGTACACATGTTCACTTGAACATATCTTGGAGCTTACTGAACCTTTATTGATAGACTGTGCTTTACCATGATTTGGCGGACAGAAACATATACATCTCACAGGATGAGGGAAAGAGCTGGGACAGGGCTGCGGACATTCCTCAGGGGGAAGCAGCCATGCTCATCGAGCATCCCTTTGACAACAAATACGTGAGTCACTTGCTCATGCAGATATCTCTCTCTTCCCTTGACATTGAGTTGCAGACCTGACAGATACTAACTCTCCTCTTCAGGCTTTCGTCATGACCAGCGGCAAGACACACTACCGCACCAGCGACCGCGGCAAGACTTGGCGATCCTTCGACGTCCCAGTCAAGATGGCATTTACCCCCGTTCCTCTCTCCTTCCACTCAGATCCGGCCAAGTATGGCAACATCCTCTACCAGGGTGCAGAGTGCACGAGCTGGGGTCCGTTCGGCGAGAGCTGCAGGGACGACGTGCGTTCTCTCTCATTCTTCATATTTATGCAGTGTGATTTACCGACTCTGCAGACATACTACACCCTCGACGCGTTCGACTCGCCTCCGCAGCTGCTGCGCCAGGACACTGCTCGGTGCGTCTTTGCACACAGTACCTCCGACTTCAAGCACGACGCGCACCCGGACCGCGTCTTCTGCGTCGCCTTCGACGCATCCACCCTCGGCGGCATGCACTCCATCCAGTCATCACGACTTTACTCGACCGCGGACTACAAGACCTTCCAGCTCGAGGAGTTCGGGATCGGCAAGAAAGCGCGCGGCGTTACCGCCTTCGCCATCGTCGGCAAGTTCGCGGTCGTCGCTATCAGGGACGAAGCGAGCAACACGGGCGAGATGATTCTCTATGTGACGATGGACACAAACGAGTGGGCGCGTGCGCAGTTCCCGCACGCGAGTTCGGCGAGTCTGCGGGAGAACGCGTACACGATCGTCGAGAGCACCGTGCACTCGCTCGCGGTCGACGTGATCCTGCAGACGCAGGCGGCGGTGGGCACGCTGTTCGTAAGCAACAGCAACGGGACGTTCTTTGTCGAGAGTCTGCGGGACACGAATAGGAACGAGGCGGGCTATGTGGACTATGAGAATATCTATGGCGTCGAGGGGATCGGGATTGCGAACACGGTTTCGAACGCGCAGGATGTGGAGAGGAAGCATGAGCCGAAGAAGTTGAAGTCGGTGATCACGTTTGACGATGGTGCGTCCCTCCTCCTTCCCATCCTTTCCCTACACGCATCTAACCCGCTTGCAGGTAGCTCCTGGACACCGCTCCGTGCCCCTTCCCAGAATCACGACGGCTCCTCGATCGGGTGCAACCCGTCAGACACGGACGCCTGCTCGCTGCACCTGCACAGCGTCACCGACTCGCGCAACCTCGGCCGCGTGTTCTCGTCTCCGGCCCCGGGGCTCGTCATGGGCGTCGGCAGCGTCGGCGCCTCGCTGAAGCCGTACGACGAGTGCGACACGTTCCTCTCGACCGACGGCGGGCTCAGCTGGCGCATGGTGCACCCCGACGCGCACATGTACGAGTTCGGGGACTCGGGGAGTGTGCTCGTGATGGTCAACGACGAGGAGGCGACGAGGGAGGTGGTGTATTCGGTCGATTTTGGGCGGAACTGGTGAGTCCCCCTCCCCAGCCTCGTCCTCTCTCCCTCTTCCATTTCCTTCTGCGAGCCCATCTTGATGACGTACACGTCACCCTAGGAAAACATACACACTCCCGATCCGCATCCGCTCGCGCTACCTCACCACTATCTCGGACTCGACCTCCCAGAAGTTCGTGCTGCTCGGCCAGGTCGCGCGTGAGGACCAGCAGGCGGGGAAGGGCCGGCACGCCGTCGTGTTCCTCGACTTTGCGGGCACGCGCACGCGCAAGTGCGGCGACGGCGACATGGAGCGGTGGTACGCGCGCTCTGCGGCGGACAAGGAGTGTCTGATGGGCACGAAGCAGTATTATATGCGGCGCAAGCAGGACGCAGACTGTTATGTGGGGGATAAGTTCAAGGATCCGGTGTTGGAGGAGGAGAGCTGTGCGTGCGAGGATCATGATTTCGAGTGGTGCGTTTTTAGTTCTTCTTTGGTGTGGTAGGAAGGGCTGACGATGTGGTGTGCTTGTAGTGACTATAACTTTGTGCGGAGCGGGGACGGCTGTGTGCCGTCGGGCCCGGAGCGCGTGCCGAGCGACAAGTGCACGACGGGGAGACAGGACGAGACGTACATGGGCTCGTCGGGATACCGCCTCATTCCGGGCAACAAGTGTGATCGTGGGCGAGGCGTCGCCAAGGATGCGCTCGTCGAGAAGAAGTGCTCCGAGGCGCAACCAGCCGAGGGCGAGGTCGTGCACTCTGTCTTTGAGTTCCCGGGGAAGGTCGTCCAGCACGAATTCTTCAAGGAATCTTCGGTACGTCGTATTGTCCCCCCTCAATCACGCTGCAGGCGCTAACACACCCGTGGACCACAGACGATCCTCGTCCGGCTCGACGACTACTCGATCTGGCAGTCCTCGAACGAGGGCTACACCTGGGAGCAAAAGTTCCCGGGCGACCGCTTCCTCGTGTTCTACATGCACTCGCACACGCACGACCGCGCCTACCTCGTCACAGACACGACCAAGTTCTACACGACGACGGACCAAGGACGCTCATGGAACCCGATGACGGCGCCGTCCCCGCCGAACACGTTCCGCGCGGACGTGCTGCAGTTCCAGCCGCGCTCGGACTACCTCATCTGGACGGGCAACGTCGGGTGCGACACCGTGGGCGGGTGGGGCGAGAGCTGCCGCGCGCAGGCGCAGTATAGCTGGAACAACGGGCGCGACTGGCGCTTTGTCGAGGATTATGTGCGGACGTGTCAGTGGGCGCGGGACGAGGAGCTGCGCATCGATGCGACGCAGATTCTGTGCGAGAGCTGGCGCGACAAGGCGGGCGCGCAGGTGACGTTTAATCAGGACAATAACGCGATGCAGCTTGTGGGCGGGACGGAGTATTTTGAGAAGAAGCGGATGCTGTTTGAGCGCGTGGTTGGGTTTACGAAGTTTTCCGAGTATTTGATTGTGGCGGAGGTGCGTGGGCTCTTTATTTGTTGGGCGGTGGATGAGCTGACGGTGGTGTTTGCAGTATTTGCAAAGACAGAACGCGCTGGATCTGCAGGTCTCCCTGGACGGGCGGACGTTCGCGACGGGCATGTTCCCGCCCATGTTCCGCCCTGACGCTACGCACGTACGCGCATCTTTCGTTGCCTACTTCGTTCGGATACTAACGCACACAAAAACAGGCGTATACCGTCCTCGAGTCGAGCACAATGTCTATCTTCCTGCACATGACGACGCACGACTGGCCCTCGCCCTGGGGCTCGATCCTCAAGTCGAACAGCAACGGCACGTACTTTGGCGTCTCGCTCAGCAATGTCAACCGCAACGAGCTCGGCTACGTCGACTTTGAGAAGCTCATCGGGCTCGACGGGATCGCTATCGTTAATATCGTGGCGAACCCGGCCGAGGCGGCGATTACGGGCCGAAAGGTGCTGCAATCGAGGATCACACACAATGATGGCGGGACGTGGAAGCCGCTCGAGCCGCCCAAGACGGACTCGTTGGGGCAGCCGTACGAGTGTCGTGCGACGGTGCGTTTGCCTTTCCTACGTCCATCTAGATGTGGTCACGGTTACTGATACGGATCCTGCAGTCCTGTGCGCTGCATATACACGGCTACACGGAGCGCCCCGACGCGCGCGCGACGTTCTCTTCGCCCTCGGTCGTCGGCGTGATCATGGGCGTCGGCAACGTCGGCGACGTGCTCACGCCGTATACGCAGTCCTCGACCTTCCTCTCGCGCGACGGCGGGTTCACGTGGGAGGAGGTGCACAAGGACGCGCACCTGTGGGAGTTCGGGGACAGCGGCGCGCTGATCGTGGTCGTGAACGACGAGGAGCCGACGGACCATGTGCTGTTCACGACGGACGAGGGGCAGACGTGGCGCGAGTACAAGTTCAGCGACGTGCGCATGCGCGTGCAGAGTATTGTGACTGTGCCGGAGGACACGAGCAGGAAGTTCATGTTGCTCGCGCGGAGCGTGGGCGGGAGCGGGAGCACGATGGTGTATATTGATTTTACGAGTTTGACGCATAAGCAGTGTGGGTGGTCCTTTTGGTTCTCCCTGTTGGCTATAATTGATTGATGGAATGCTTGCTCTCAGGTGTGCTGGATCTGGACAACCCGGGGGCGGACGACTTTGAGTTGTGGAGTCCAAGTGAGGAGCGGAACGAAGTATGCTTGTTCGGCCGGCAGGTAAGCCCCCATTTCCTTGCCCTTGGCAAAAGAACATGACTGACGTCTATCTAGACTCTATATCACCGTCGCAAACGCGACGCCAACTGTGTCGTCGGCAAGCGGGAGAAGGTGAAGGAGTCCATCCAGCGCGAATGCGCATGCACAATGGACGACTTTGAATGGTGCGTCCTCTCGTCCTTTGTTTCTCTTTATATTTAGGACCTAACACACTATCCGTCCTCTCAGCGAGTTCAACTACGTCAAAGATGACTGGGGCGACTGCGTTCCCGTGCCCGGCACAACAGCCCTGGCGTCGGACGATTCATGCCGGGACGACGAAGACTACTGGTATGACCGCACGCCGTACCGGCGCATCCCCTACTCGTCGTGCGTCGGCGGCGAGCGCCCCGACCGCGGCGCGGCGCACGTGTGTCCCGGTATCCGCGCACACGGGTTCTGGTTCTGGTTCTGGGTTCTCATCTTCCCCTTTGCGGTCACGGGCACCTTGACGTGGTGGTGGTACAAGAAGAGTGGGATGGCGAGAGGGTGCGTTTTTCTAATTCTTTGTCCATGGCGGATGGATACTCGTATGCTCATGCGTTTTCGTGTGCGTTACAGGACGATCCGCTTGCCCGGAGGCGGCGAGCGTATGCCGATGTACCGTCCATTCGACGGCGACTCTGGGGCGCTCGCGACGCTCGCGAGTGTTCCGTACTTCCTCATTGGCCTCGCGGGCATTGCATGGGAGTATACTGCGTCCCGCATGTCGAATCTTGACTTGCGCATCCGGTCAAGAAGGGGTTACAGGAACATCCCTGTGGACGAGGATGCGCAGATATTGAGGTTCGAGGACGAGGAATAGATGGTTCCTCGTAGAAGTGAAACAGGGTGTGGACGCGAAGAGACGGAGAAGAGTTTGGAATAGGTAGACACAACTTGTATTTATGCTACACACGTAATTCATTGATTCTTTGCTTTACTCTCAACATGGCGTTTGACGTCGCTCCCTCAATGTTTATTGCAGGACCCATGGGCCAGAGGATGCAGATGAGTTAGACTAGTGCGACATTAGTATGGTAACAACATAGCAAGTACATGAAAGCGTGAGTAGTGGTTTCCCGGTCCCAGTCCCCGGAAAAGTTTTGAATTCAAGTTTAGTCAATGACGCCGAGGTGGTCCTCCTTGATAGTTCCTATTGCAAACTGACAGAACTGGGTGAGTGTGGTTATGGATAGCTGAGGCAATGGGACATACAATCTCCGTAGCGTCTACACGCGTCCCGACGAGCTTTACCCGTACACGCGTGTTCTTCTCGATGATCTGTGGGTGCAAGACGTCGACTCGGATGGGTCATAGCGGATGCAAGGGAAGGGTGACGCACCTGGTCGTCCGAAGCGAATGATGGGGGATTTGAGTTGGGGTCAAATTTGAGGTCGGGGTGGATGAGCTAGGACGAGAAGAGGAGGATGTCAGACGTGGGGAGAGGAGGAGTGGATGAGAAAGGGCGGGGCTTACCTGGTGCGACACGAACACCGTTAATGGCCCCACATCCGCGAAGAAGCCCATCTAGTCCGCACGAATCCCAAGCTTAGCTCCCGCCCAGGTACGTCTGTCTAGCCGAAGGCGCAATGAAGCATGCACACCTTGTTGACGTTATTGACGACTCCATCGACGACCTCACCCTTGAACGGCTTGAACACGATAGCGCGGTAGCGGGTGACGAACTCGGCCTGGCCGCTGCCGCTGAGGACCATGCCGCGGCCGATGTCGAGGATGGAGACGACGGCGATGATATATCCGAACTGGCCCGAGCATGTCCCCTCGACATCGGCGTAGAGCTTCGACTCGAGGAACTGGGTCATCCGCGGGCCGAAGTAGGATGGGTGGAGGAGGATCGTGTGCGTGAGTTCTTTCTAGAGATGCGTTCGTGTTGTAGCATGGTGGAAGAGTGGGTGGTGAGAAGAGTTGCTGATATTGAGAGGATGCGGATAGACGTGGTGAGGGCTTCACTTACGATGAAGAACATGGCGGGCAGGTGGGTAAGACCAGGGGAGGGAAAGAGGAGCAAAGACGCGACGTGCAGAGACGCGCGCAAGCGCCGGCAAATGACTTGTTGACTAACATGGGACCCCTGAAGGCCTGACTAGCGGCCGACTAGCTCAGTTGGTTAGAGCGTCGTGCTAATATCTGTGCAGCCAAACATCGTGTAGCCCCCTCCACAGTGATTGCTGCCCGGTCCACGCGAAGGTCTTGGGTTCGATCCCCACGTTGGCCAGCTACTTCACTTTTTGCCTTTAATTTGGCTTCATTCTCGAGCTTTGGACTCCAGCACAACCATTGAGTCCTTCATCACAACATGCCAGGGGCACTTTTACACCTACGAGCCGTTGGCCTGTGCACTCAGATACGAACGAAATTGTTCCAGTTAGCTCGAGCAAATTTCATCCAGGAGGCAGGTCTCCCCATCCCATGATTTAGCTTTCTTCTCGATTCCCCCAGCTGCGGACCTAGGCAAAGGAGTGGTCCTTGCCCCTTTCACATCAAAGGCGGTATATTCTGCATAAATAATTAATGCTCTACCAAGCCATATACAGTTCTATCTGCATCCCGACGTTGCGCGAGTACCTGCGTATATAACAGGACCGAGCAGGTATGCGAGAACTTCTCACATGCGAGTTAAAGGACTTTGTTCTTGACATGTCTTGAGCGCAAAGACTCAGAAACACTCAAGGGCACTCCCGACATTAGCGGCACTTTTGGGACGTCGACTACATGATTCTAACGGTACTATTCGGCCGCCGGACGCGGAGTGGAATTTTTGACATATATGACATCGTGTATGCTGCTGCTAATATCACTATTCGGTTCGCTTCTTGTGAGCAAAAATCGGAGTTGAACATAGAGAGAAAACTCCGCTTTTTTGAGGGATATAAGTAGGCAGTCCTCCCTCAGACAAAGCCCATCGCAACTTCGTGCAACTCCAATTTAACCAACTCACTCTTCTCCCCATCTCGATGCCGTCTTTCTCCAAAGTCTTCTTCCTGTTCGCGGCCGTAAGCGTCGTCGCTGCACTTCCTCCAACGGTGGTCAAGGTGTGTACAATCCTCATCTCAGCGTCTTAAACGCGACCTAATATATTCGTCGCCCTATGATACTCTCCAGCGTCAAGCGGAACTGCCTGCGTCGCCTCCAATCCCAACACCATCGCCTCCCGCTGTACCGGGGGTAGCGAAGCGTCAGTTGCTTGGCGACCTTCCGTTAGGGCCTATCGTCAGTCCCTGGGTGAATGGTGTGGGCGAGGTCGTTTATCCCTTTGGAGAGCAGATCTAGAGCTTTTCAAGGTACGTCACTCTAACCGTATCGGTGGCCGTATTTCTCATGCCGATGCGTCTTTTCCAGTGAATTGGCCTAAGAGAGGTTGAGAGAACGACGTGGGTTCACGTCGGAGTCACGAATAGCGTGGTGGAGACATCGTTCGGAGGTCAAGAGGGTTGAGCTTACTTATACCCAATACATCAGACACTGTTATATTTCCTTCCGCCTTCTGCAGCGCTCTGTTGTTCCATAAACGGAGTACTCTTATACCTTCTCCACGCTCTGGTATCTCCTTCATTAGTAAAAATCAATCCATGATATCCACTATCAACGCAACATATGCCATGATGACCCGCACCGCAGTAGTACTATCATCAGTGTTCTCGCCCCATGAGTATATTATGCGACTGCCTGCTGCTGTAGTGGTAGCAAAGCCTACTTGAACCAACCGTTCTCTTCCACACAGATCACTCGAACGTTGAATTCTGAATGGCTACGTCGCTTCAAGTCCGAAGATCGACTATCACATATGTTATCAGAGTTCGCAATGCCACTGGCTTGAAAAGCAATTAGTTGGACATTCCCTTCAACAGGTTTCCTGGAGCTGTTGACGCGGGTGCAAGTTTCTGGAATATTTATTTGAAGTTGTATCGATCAATATGATGTTTTCCTTGCTACCAGCAACACGACACGACAGTCACGCGGACTCATAAGATTTCAATATTATATGCTCTGGCAAATCCTCCTGAGCGTGATTAAAGACGGTTTTCAGTTGGGGTCCTAGAGGACACCTGCTGGCGGACTAACAGCGCGATGGAAAATTATATACAAGGAAAACTCTTCGAATTGTCATAAGGAATTAGGTGGAATCTCAATGATATATGCAAGTAGCGGTGTTCTTTTCGGTTTTTCACTTTCATCAACGATATAGACCTTCTCATCATTTTTCTATCATTTATTCTTTTTTATTGTCGACAGAATGATGCCCTTAGTATACTCGGGTGTCTTCACATGCCTGTACTCCAAGTCGCACTTCAAGTCGTATCAGAAGAAAGCATCTCAAGCGATCTTTAGGTTTTGGACATCACACTTACCACGTTCCCGACGCCTGAACGTGGACGTATGGACTCTTCAAGTTGAGCTTCTTTCATCCGCTTGATTTATCCATCCACGTCACCGACAGGCTTCTTTCCACGTGTATCAGGCTTTCTGCCATTTTTATCGTAGCTCCTCTCAACAAGGTGGGAGTTTGCTTGGGAGTTGGTGTCAACGATACGTTGGGCCTCCATTCCGGGATCTTTGGACGGTGCCGAGGTATGGAGAATCAGCCCGTTACACTGCCCCTTGATGATGTGAAGAATCAGTTTTCGTGGTGAATACAAATTAAGCACAGCATTGGAAACCTATAAATGGTTTACTCGCTATACCATGTGCTCAAAAGACAACTAGAATTACAAGACGCCTGCTTTGGAACAGTTTGCAACTTACGTGACTTAGGAACGTAGCTGTCTCACGAATGATGCGCCTCTCAGCCACGGTATCTACAGTTACAGCACCGGGTTTAGACTTGGTGTTGGGCCTTCCCTTGTCCTTATGACACTGCCATTGATGTCAGACAGGCAGATTTTGACTCTATAAACTTGCAAGAAGTGCACCGAACAGCATGCATTTCCTTCCTTACCCGCACGCCGCTCCAGAACGACCTTCTTACGCAATTAATGTCTGATTCATTAATTCCTCAACTAAACCTCTTATTTACCTTTCGATGCATGCTTGGTGCGCTTCACGCTTTGTTTTCCATAGGTTACCATCACTGACGTGTTACAGCCTCTAGTATGGCCGTGCTTATTTGGGACGGCGCACTGATGATGAGAAGAGAATTTCGATCGATGCAAAAGATCAAGAGTGTCGTCCTCAAACTCGCTTTTGCGGGCAACAGGCTCGGAGCCATGATGATGCTTATCCCATTCTTCAGAAGTACGAAAGCGTCGTCTTGGCACAGTGGAAGCTTACTAAAACAATGTTTTGCTAGTCATGTTCTCTAGTATTACTTTGGATAACGCAAGGGTAAGTGTGCTATCGCACGTAGACCTTTTGTATCTGACTTCCCCATGACCTCTAGTGTCCTAAAACCATCACCTTCTAGTGAATTACTTTTGAACATCCACTGTAGATGTACAGATGGAGTACTTGCCATTGGAATACTCTTCGTTTTCGCAGATGCTTTCGGAAACCGTAAGTACCTGCACATCCTTCTTCGCGCGACAGCCTCCCACTGGTCGAATTTAATGATCTTTGGTTTCAGTCTCCGCCGTAGGCAGAATATTTTTACTGTGGAACAAAAGTCCGAGGGCCCTTCTCTATCTAATATCAGGCGCTCTAGTAGCATTGTGCTGTAATCTAGCTCTCATGGTTGCCAACAACCATTCTGCCCCGGGTACGCTGAGTTTACCAAGCCACTACCAAGCTGAGCTGGACTGATCCGCTTTCAGAGAACATGGAATGGGTAGACACACAGGGAATACGCACATGCTTGATAAACGGAGACTGGCACAACTTCTTTATCACCGGAATATTCATCATCGAGGTACTCTCTCTCTCTCTCCAACTTCTTGCCTAGCTAGCTACATGCTAATGTGTGAAATATTGTCCAGCTTGTATTTGATTTGTACGCAGCATTGCTGATCTGGGTTAACGTGATGGATATTCCGAGAACAAGTAACTCACAGATAATCGGACTTCTCCACAAGCAAGGACTGTGCTTCATGGCGGTGAGTCTACGGGTCTCAACTGGGTTGACCTGTGCTCATAGCCCAAAAAGATGACTATAGGTATTTAGGGAAAAACTGCCCACCAGAAAACGTACTAATGCCTCGTCAAAGCGCTGCGTATCGTCAATCTTGTGCTAACCATAGTCCCGGGGGTGAGTCATCACCGTCGTTGTTACGACCACTGCCGCTGACATTCATGGTAGGAGAGCTATTGGGTGATTGCTATCATGTAGGCGTTGACTTCATCAAAATCAGGGCTCTCACCGATGCTAAATCTACTTATATCAGCTTTGTTGAACCAGTCATCGCTATGTTAAACGCGAGGCTGATTGTTCGAGCTTGCGAGTTCTACGAAGACATGCAATCCGATGATAAGGAAGCTAACTCTGAAGGGGTGGAGTTGGAGTCTTCAAGCGAGAATTATAGTCGAACTTCCACCCTGGCTTTCTCTGCTAGTGGCTATAATCTTGTGCTCGTTTGATTTGAGCCCCGAGTTGGTATAATGGACCTGATCTACGCCCATATCATACAAAGCGCTAAACTAACATGTTTGACTCCTTAATCCTTCGTAGATCTTATGGCTTATCACGTTTTTGTGTTACATTATAAAGTCCCTAACAAGTAGTTTATGCTGAAATCATCATGAGACGAGCAAACACGCACCCAAATGTAAACGTGGTTCATCGCACAGATGCAGAGCGGCAAGAGACAAACACGGTTCGCATCCAAAACATCTTTTCAGCTCTTCATTTCCCTCACAACCTTCTCGACGACCTTCCCAACCCTAAACACAAGCTCGTCTGCGCCCCACTGGCCCACCACGCTCACACCCACCGGCCACTCTCCTTCCCCGATATCACTGTTTGTCTCGTCCCCATGAGGTGAGCGAGGGTTGAGCGGCACGCTCAGCGCTGGCAAGCCCGCGAGGGACGCGGGGACTGTAAGCACATCCTGAAGGTATGTATCGAGCGACTCTTCCCTTTCTTTCCCTGTTTCGGTTTCTTCTAGAGAGGGGAGGGGTGGGGCAGGACCAATGGCGGACGGGTGTAGGAGGACGTCGACGCCAGGTTCGTTTGGCGCTACTATGTCAGTGATGGGGTTTGAGGTCGATGCAGCGGGAGGAGCGCGGAGGGCATTTGGCACACGGAAGACAGCGTCAAAGTCGGATCGGACCCGCGACCGGACGCGTTGGGCTTGAAGGTAGTAGTTGTCAAATGCCCTGTATAACGCCAGTGAGATCCAGCTTTCCATCGACGTAGAGGAGACGTACCCGGCACTAAGAGCAAAACTACCTAGCAAAATCCGCTTCCTCACTTCTCTACCTAACATCACGCTTCGCGTATGCGCGTATACATCCGCCGTGGAGGCAGTTGTCCCTGGAGCTGGAGGTACATGTTGACCTGTAGCAGTTCGATTCAATGAGCGTCAAGTACATCCACCAGTCGTCAAAGCAAACTTACCATATCGCACACCATCAAACCTCGCCAAATCACTAGACGCCTCCGCGCTCGCGAGGACGTAGTACGCAGAGAGTGCCGCACGTGTCGCAGGCAGCGAGACGGGAACAAGCGACGCCCCGTGTGATTGGAGATGCGAGAGAAGAGTGTGTAGACCAGGAGGCGGAGAGAGCTCGGCGGGAAAATATTCCTGCGTGCGAGAGGTCGTTCAGCTTAGTTCCGCAACTAGTGATTGGAGAAGAAAAGAACAAACAAAGAGCGTACCTGCGGAATCCCAATTCTCAGCCCTTTTAGGTCACCATCGGTGTGCTCCCCGCCCCATGCATGCTTCCGTACGGCAGCGGAAGCGCGTTTGCGGACATGAGTGGGGGCGGCCGTTGGGTCGCGAGGGTCGTGTTGTGCGATTACGTCTACATAGAGAAGTAAAGTGCCCTTGAGAAATGAAGGGGTGAAGGAGATGTAGACCAATAGCGTACCGAAGACAGCCTGTGCACCTTTGACGGTGTGGGTGAGCACGCCCACACAGTCGAGACTGTCTGCGAAGGAGACCACTCCCCATCTACTCCAGTTTAGAATTTGATTATGAATGAGCAGGGGAGAAGACATGCCTACTTATAATGCCATATGATGGTTTGAAGCCTACAACGCCGCAGTAAGATGCTGGGAGTCGCACGGATCCTCCGGTGTCCGTGCCGAGTGCGCTGAGCTCGCGAGATGAGATTGAAGTGGGTGGCTGAAGACGTAGAGTGAACGTACGCGTCACAAAATCCGGCAGCAACGGCAGCGGCACTTCCTCCAGAGCTTCCTCCAGCCGAGCGTCGAGCGTTTGGGTCGTATGGATTCACGACAGGCCCAAACGCTGAATGTGTATTCAGGGAGCTGGTGGGGTTTGCGATGTTAGCAGCAGCCAGAAAACAGGGAGGGAAATAAGGGGCGCACCCCATTCCAAACTCGTCACAGTTCGCCTTCCCAATAACACTGGCTCCCGCGTCGCGTAGCAGCCGTACTGCAGTCGCGTCAAATGGAGGTGTATAGTCTAGGCCATAACATGTAGCGTGTAGCATCAGGAAAGAGCCATACAGAGCCCACCTGAAAGTAGACGCGACGCGCAAGTCGTCCTCAAGTCGCGCGTCGCAATGTTATCCTTTACAGCGAGCGACAAGCCCTCCAGTTTGGCGCTCTTGGTTTGAGAAGTTGATGGTCCGTGCGTCGACGTGTTTGGTGCGACAGCGATGAGAGCATTGATGCATTTGTTTCTGCTTTCGACTGCAGCACGCCAGGATTCTGCGGCGAGAACTCTTGAGACGTGCATCACGGGGCACGGAGGAAGCAAGGGCGTTCGTCGGCAATGCACGGGCCGAGATGTTTGCGGCCAGCTCGTGGGAAAATTGACGGCAGGCGCTTGGACGCGCATTGGGCGCCTAGTATGTCACGCCTCACACCCTTCCTCTTTGCCCTCCCTACTTCGACGTTGTTGCCTTGTCAGAGCACCTTACAGACTGTCGAAGATTTATAACAACAGGGAGCTGATTCTATGTTCACATTTTGACAAAGATGAAAGGCGTGTTGTCGATTCACAAAGATTCTCTAAAATTACGCTGTTCAAAGAGGCCTAGCTTTTGCGAGTTACACGTCGGGCGGTAACTGCCGTTTCCTTCTGGGGATCTTGAACCAGAAACTGTCCATCCCTGGGCGCTCTAGGTGGCACACAGCACCCTCAACAATGCTGAACCGTTCCTCACCAGCGGGGATCTGCCCTCGAGACATCCCATGATTCTGCTCCCAGCTGCTCATCGCACCCCCACACAGCATCGTCATGGAACCGGGTTCAGGTTCGACGTTGATGACCCACCCTGAGGGTGTGTTTACGGCTGCCTCCGTCTCGAGGTTGTAGAAGTCGAGACAGAATTGACCGAATGATTCCATGTCGCCATCGAAGAGACGAATTACGAGGGGTTCTGAGCCAGGAAGATCGATGACTTGGATGCTACACATCCTGGCATGTCGAGGTTTAAACTGGTGCAGGGTTCATGAATACAGAAGCTACTGATATTATATAGAAGAGAGATAGACATACACCCCAAGCTTTAGGCTTTTCTCCGCGTTCCATCAACTCGTCCATGCTTGCATGGTATATGCGAAGCCCTTCTTCTAGAGTCTTCTTAGTGTAGCCCAAGTCAAACATGTGGGTCCTGAGCCGTTCGTCGGAGGGTTGCATCCGCACCGTCTCCTCAACACCCATGTACTCACACCAGTACTCCTCCCACTTGTTACGGGGCACAAAATTCTTGTAATCGTGTTCGAACTCATTTGAAGGTTGTAGCGTATCCATAGGCTCTGACTTTGGTCTTCTACGAGCCTTGCGCTTCGTCGACGTCACAAGAGAGCGCGTCGGAACCAGGTCTGCCTAGCAGACAGGTTATGCCTGCGATGTGAGTACAGGCTGTGTGTATGAACGGACCTTTGACTTCTGTGTAGGTGCTCGTGGCATGAGGGCTAGTGGATAAGAGTTGACTGTTGTCGCTGCTTGAAGGGATGCGTCAAGAGACGTGTTAAAGACGCGTTAATTCTTCTCAAACTTGCATGTGATCTGAGTTTCGCCCCCTGCATGGTCGTGTTCCTTCTCAGACTTCGCCAAGGCCCAATTCTCGAGAAGCATTTAAACCCGCACAGCCACCAAGTTATGAGCATGTAGCACAGAAACGTCTCAGGATCAGTATATTTTGGGATAGAAAAACAGGGCTGGTTCTAATTGGGTTCTAAAACTACCCTTGGCCACGCTTTAAATTTACTCGTCATCCCAGCATTGACGCAGCGCCTCGCACACTTCCTCTGCTGCATCCGCCCACTGGTAAAAGTTCTCCTCCTTCTGGAAGTCCTCCATAGAAGTAATGTCAAAGGCGTCGCCAGCCCAGGGTCCTCGTGTGATGTCATCACAGTGGGCGCTCATCGAGCAGGAAGGGTCGGTCGACCAGCAAATGCGACTTACGAGCGCATCGCCGAGTGTATATGATTTGTCGCACCAGAACCATTCTCTCTGAGGAAGCTCTTCGTTGAGCGCGTTGATGGCGTCAACACGCACGTAGAGCTTCTTGGAGAGATTCCGAAGGACCGTGGACTTGACGGAAGCGAACATTATTTCAATGGCTGCCAATGGCGCGTCTCCGACGAGCCTTCGCCAACTAAGGATCTTCAGAAACTGTTCTGCGGTGCCACCGCTAGATCTCTCCCGGTAGTGAGCTTGCGCAAAGTCGTAGAACGAGACGGGCTGTCCTTCATGACATTCATCCTGTCCAGCAGCATCTAGCTCGGCCTGTTCTACCTCGGTGAGAATGCCTGCTGGGAGATCATTGCGGGCGACGTAGTCTCCGAGGCAAATGACGCGGCAACCCGCCCATGACACATCCCTTCTAATACACGCCTCGAGAAGGGAAGAGCATATGTCCCAACATCTATGGCACGCCGCAGCAAAACAGACCAAATCTTCAGGCCGGCCAATATCGTTTGCGATGTGGTAAAGGATCTCGTTAGGCAGCGCGAGCAAGCCGCGGTCAAAGAAGTTCCTGTCAGTCGAGCTTAGCAAAACCCGAACATCCCAGATAACGACCATGTTCGCACTTGACATTGGTACTCTCTGCTCCGCTCGGCTGAATTCTGGGCATCTTTGGGAGAGGTGGAATCTGATGCAAAAGCATTCCTATACGTCTGGCGGTTGAGCAATCCCCAAAGAATTCGCCAAGTTTTCCAACGTGGTCAATAATCTCGCGCCTGTCGATGTTAACGAACGCCCAATCTTGGCCCATGGCGGAGTGTTCGGCGAATAATGAACGAATGATTCAGCGGCTCGATGATTATGTACCCACGAAGGAGACAGAGGAAAGTTTGGGCGAACGGACGTGAAGTAGTGCACAGGGAACAACTTACGGTTTTCCCAAATCAATGAGAATCAACCGTGGGAATATATGGAACCTAAATGGTCGGAAACGATACCGCCGATACGGACCGGGTATCGGGCGCTTAAACACCCACAATCTCCCTTCACCGGACTCCCGCCTTGGTCGACTGGTCTCTGGCAGCCCTCAACGCTTTGGGCACTCTCAATTACATGTTACAAACAGCATAGTTCAATATCGCCAGATAGTCACCAATGCTGGCGCACGCCCCTTTCTTGGCCCGCCACGGCCGTGTTCTCTCGACTGTATACCTCATGCATACTCATCACGTCCGCCCACGCCCATCCACCAGTTCTGTAACTCAAATTTACCAGGGTATCCGAGTTAGAAACGGATCTACGACCTCAAATACCCTATATGCTTTCCCCACACATCCGAATCCCACACCACACCAGATCTTCCACCTTCCGCGCGGTGCAAGTCAGCATGATGTCAAAGCTCGCTGTATGCCCAACTTGCTCCGTTATCTCAACCTGACACGTATAGATACTAACACATATGGTGGCATGTCTGACAGACTACGACCTTGTCCGCGCACACCACCCGGACTCGGCCTTGGCCCGCGGGCTCGAGCCAGCCGAAGCGACGCGACGCTTCGCAGCCATCGGTGCAGCGTACGACACCCTCCGTGGCAAATCACCGTTTTCGTCATCATCTTCCTCGTCAAACCCATGGAGCAGACCAGGTGACGACGAGATGCGCGAGGAGCTTCGACGGCGTGCAAGGGCTGGGAGGGCGCATCATCGGTCGCGGACGGACTTCGATGACGATTTCTGGCACGGACATGGGCATTGGGGTGGACACGGCCGGTGGCACGGTGCGGCTGAGGTAGGACGGAATCAGAGCTGGAAGGACTGGGTGATCATCATTGGTGGTGGTCTGGTGCGTCTCTCCCCTCCTTCGCGTATCAGCACATAGTCTAACAAGGTATGACACGTCTCATCGCCACCAGACATTCATAGCGGGCACCGTCCCATACGTTCTTTCCTCCTCGGCGTCCAACTCCAATAGCCACCACCGCCTCGCTGCACAGAACCTTGCAGATGCACGCGCGGAAGCGAAGGAGGTTGGCGCCGCCCGTCGGCGTGAGATTCGGAGACGAGTAAGAGCGCACGAGCTCGAGTGCGCCGAGGAGGCGCTTGAACGCGCTAATGCAAAGGGGCGAGAGGCGTTGGAAAATGAGATGACGACATTGGGGATGGAGGAGAGGGGACGGACAAGGGCAATACTGCAGAAGGAGCGTGAGAGGCGGGATAAGATGGCGAGAAGGACGGGACGAACCCCAGGCTCGCTATGGAATGAGGGTGGCGATGATAAGACCGAGGGCGAATGGTTAGGCGGCGAGAGGGCTGACACCGAGGGGCTGAATGGGAGCTTGATGAAATCGAGCAAGACAAAGCCTTGAAGAGGAGCATGGGCCAGTTCCTCGTTCAGACGGGCACGGAGAATGGGGAGGACATATTGCCATAAGTTTGGGCGAGGACGACTAGTCACGGTTATGGTCCGTCTGTTTTCTATGACATTCCGCAGCAATGAATCAGATTCTGACCATTTGAATAGCCATGTGCCGTTCTTCTCTGCAATGATCCGTAATGCAAACTTTCCTAAGAAAATACTGTTCTCTCAAACGTGTTGATTAAGCCATGTTCGGGTGAAAAGGTTTAGTCAAATTCGGTTTGCGAGACATAGCTGACCGGCCTTGGACAATTAATGAGTAGCCATACCAGGGATAGATCCCTTCTTGCGGGATGCACATCATACCAAAAACCGGAAACATTCTGCCGGATGTAGATGCTTAGCGCTACACACTGCGCGCTAATACTCCTCAAGATCGGCCCAAGCTTTTGATTCCGACTTGGATGGAAGGGCTCGGTAGCTAACGATGTCAATGTACAGGTAAGGCGAGCATAAAATTTCGTCGCTTCGTGCACAGGAGATACTGCCAGTAATTCTCACTTTTCCAGATTCGCAGTGACAATGCTAAGAAAACCTCTAGCATAGCTTTTATTGTCTTCTGTTCCGGACTTTGGCCTGAGCGTTACAGCTTGCATGGGCAGCCGAACACGCGGGACCCTCAAATCATGCAATGCCCTCCCCAAACAGCCGTGAGGCGATGCTTTTTTATCTCGCTGAACTTAGAATATCAAGGACTTGTTTTCAGCCGCACGAAAGCCTTGCCCCCCAGTTTCTCAGTGTACTTGAACCATCATTCAAGTGTCTCATCCTCGTTGATCCGTGTCTTTTGACGAAGCCTTCGAGGATTTTCCCATCTGGTCATAAGCTCGCCTCAGGAACTGTCGTTCCGGACTATGTCCAGCAGCAGCTTAGAGGACGTATGTCTGTTTGACGATCCGAAAGCCGTTGTAGCCCGGGACCTGGCGCCCTCCGCCCCCACTAATCTCGAGTAATCCGTGCATATTTCCATGGAGATTGCTATACTGACAACGTCACTCTTCTGTGGTAGGTACAAGTGGGAGGTCCGGTGCCCAACGACTGTGGTTTTCCAATTGCCAGCCCCATCTGCGTCGATGCCGCTTATCCGTACAAGTTAATTTCCTGGTCCGTGAGAGTGTTCGGTGACGACGACATGTTTGCTGGCGCGTAGATTCAGCAAAATCCCAGAGAATAACGATTCATGCATGTCTGGTTCATACCGTCATGGTGTAATTTACTGGGACGAACAGTTCCTCGGACCGTACGCCCACGAATGAGTAAAATCATTACTACTCGGGGCCAGTGACATGTCTTTGTATTATATGTGATACTTATGCGCTTCGATGGTAGAACCTTTCTAGTTCCGAGCGATCTATCAGCGAAGGGCGGTTGTGCTCATCGATATCCATATCGTCTGGTGTTTCCGGCAGACCGACAACATATGAGTTCGTATACGTAGCGGTTTTCAACCATTCTACAAGGATTCTAGTACTTATTCATTTGCAGCGTGTGCGCAGTGTTCACCCCCGAAAACGCCCATGGGTTGAAGACGCTCGAGAGATATAGACGATACATTTTCTGTTAATACTTATACTTCAAGGCCTTCTTCTGTACAACAGTCTACGCTCCCAGATAGATTTATAGAGTTTCTTTGCTTTGCGCCTGGATCAATATATAATTTTTGAACGTACAAACTATTGAAGAACGACTCGTAATGAGGTCACCCAGGGCTTCATGGGCCTCATTGCTTAGAGTCATACCAAAGATCCCTCAGGCTTTCCATGTCTCTCATTAGAAGTCGTTGAGTTCGCAAATTATAAATACATTTACAGAGTCCGTAAGGACACTAGATTTACAAATCTTGTTTTTACATTCCAACCTTAGCGACACTGAGTGGTTAATTGGGGTGCCTCGGGCGCTCCAAGTCCTCCGGACCAAAGCTCATAGGCAGCAACATGCCCAACGTCACCTCTTTCACTTCCGTCCCTTCCGCCGCCAACGGTGTACTGTCAAGGGTAGCCTTCGTGTTGCTCTGCGATGAGACGTCTCCAGTTGATTTAGAAGGATCATGCCCGACAGGAACGAGAAGAATCGGCATATCGAGCGGGCAAAATTCACGGAGAACTTGGCGACAGATGCCGCATGGAGAGAGAGGGGTGGCAACGTCGCTATGGGGCAACGTTCAGTTAACCTACAGACGGATATGCGAAGATGTCCTCGATCGACAAGACACGCACGAAGTAACAGCAAGGGCGATGAACTTCGTCGTTCCGTCGCTGACGGCCTTCACTATCGCGGTACGTTCGGCGCAGATGGCTCCGCCTGCACCGATATAGATTCAGACCTCGGAGGAGACGTATGCATGCAAAAGAAAGCGCACCATACGACGCATTCTCGACATTACACCCTCCGATCACCTTTCCATCATCGGACAAGAGCGCGGCGCCGACGCGGAACTTGGAGTACGGTGCGTACGCCTGCCCTTTCGCTGTCAATCGTCGACGTTCATCGTCAGCGTATCCCACTTCACATCCCCGAACCATCAGGTGTTAATTGTCTCACATTCGATCGCACACTCGATGAGCTTCCTGCGTTGGTCGGGGGTGATGGGGGGAAGCGTCGGCTTGGAGGTAGTGGACATGGTGTCGGAGGGAAAGGGGGCGATCCGTGGATGTCGGAGTTGTCTTATCAAATTATCACGTGGACCGCACGTCATGTGAAAGGCTGCGAGCACTGCCACTTGACGGTCACAGCTTTTTCATGAAGCGCCATGGAGAGCGTTACGAGGGTTACGGCGCTAAATATTCTGCCAGGTGCAGTGAGTGCGAGCTTGACGGACGAGAGGCTTCATGTTGAACCGAAGAAAGAGCTAGAGTTTCTCTTCAGCCCGTCGTCGCTGTCGAGATGTCGGGCGCGCGAGAATGAGTTGGGGTTGTATCGGGGCGCGTATGTTGCCGGCTGACGTAATAAATGAGGCTGCCAAAATAAGCGGCGCGTCACAAGCTCTGGACGCACGCGGAGGTGGATGTGTCCCTGACCGCCTTCTCAACTTGAACTGCATCGTGTTTGGATTCACCGCTCTTTGTCCTCCTCTTCTTTCTTCTTTCTTACCACCTGCATCGCACGACTCTTCGCGTACTTATTCGACGGACTCTTACTTTACTCCCTGCGTACCACCCACCTCTCCTCTGCACTTTTACCACAATTTCTGCGCTGGACCAGACTCCCCTAACAACAAGCTGAAATCATGGTCGCCTACTCTGCCTTTTTCTCCGCCGGCCTCCTCGCCACCAAGGATGAGGACGCGCGTTCGACAACACCTACGCCTTCCTCGTCCGAGCTGGCCCCCTTGAGTTCAACGGATATGGACATCACTCCCAAGGCCAGCATGGATCAAAGCACGGCCTCGCAACCCCAGAGCCAGGGCTCAGCTGCGCCTTCACGTACGATGCGCCGACGGCGCTCGAGCATCAACATCGGCGCAAACTCCATGGCGTCGATCAAGTGCCCCGCGCGCAACGCATCAAGCGCTTTGCAGCGCGCACGCGCGGGCAGCGTCAACGACCTCGCGCCTTTCGCTATCAACATGGGCGTGCTCCCTCCCAATGCGGGCGCAAACATGGGCTCGGTTGCGGCCGCGGGCACTGGCGTCGCGAGTGAGGACACGAGTTTGATGAGCCGGTTCAGAAGCGGTAGCATGGCGAGTCTCGGCGGGCCGAGGTGAGCATCTTGCCTTATCTTTCGCTCTGCTTCTGCTTCTGGGAGGGATTCGAGGGTTCTGTCTTATTTTGCTCCGCGGTGCTGCTTCTCTTTCCGCCTATTCAGTTTCACCCGAGTGGGATGAGCGCTCAGTATACCTATTTGATTCAATTCCCAATATCATCTTTGTTTGTGGTCTTCTTGAGACACCGCGCTCACATGACCGTTCCAGACCTCGCCCCCGCCGTGTCCTTCGCCGCAGCGCCGCGGCACCAACCCGTCCTCCCCCCTCTGTGCCTCTCCCTGAGCTCCCGTCCTCGCCAAACCCACACAAGACCCTCCCCTTGATGCTCACTGAACTTGGCGTCAACACCGCCGCACCTTATGCAGACATCCGCCGCCCCCTTGGCTCGCGCACGAGTTCCGTGGACAATGTCGATCCCGTGATTCCCGTGGGCCTCGACGATCCCCGTGCACTACTCAGCATTGACACGAAGCTCGCTGCACATGCACCTTCGGGGTTGGCGTCTAGTCCATTTATAGCTGGGCGGACGGGGTACTTTGATGATATGGACGCAGTGATGAAGGAGAACTAGATTTGGCTCTGAGTTTACTGTGGTGGGTATATGTGTCTTTATCGATTCGAAGCGACGTACTGACTTGTCTGTTGGCGCGTGCAGCCTTTCGTTATAGGTTCTCAGCGTCGCGCTGCAAAAATGCGAACCCGCGGCAGGCCCCGCGTATCGTTCGCCACAGACATTCCTACAATACCAACGTGCTCGTATAATCTCTACATATGTACGCCCGTCAATCCCCAGTCTTGCCTTCGACCTTCGCATATATCGTCCTTATCTAAACCCATACCAACGTTTCACGTAATTTGTCTATGTTTAAAGTTGACTATTGTCCCGATCTACCTAGACCTAATTATTCTTCTCGTCTCCGATCACGGACTGTCTATACCTTCACGCCCGTCAATATCGTACATTACTCTTCTTCTTCCGTTATTCCGTACGCACTTCATGTCCCGGTTTACGCTTACGTCCTGGTTCTTCTTGTCTTCGCTGGCGCTGACGTTTGCATTGACGCCAAGCATGTGCCGCTCGTTGATACTGAAAATCTTGTAGAATACCCGTGCAAAGAAAATAATGTGCTGCTTCAGGTTGCTTTCAAGTCGATCAGCTGGTGTGCGCTTGTATCATACCCTCACGCGTCACGTCTCGACTAGTGCTTTCAAATCCACCAAGTCTTGCAATGCTTTGTGTGGACGTTGCCAACTCGAGGTCTCGCAATGACCTAGTACATGATATCCATACCGATGGTGGATACAGGTAGCGAAGCAACATCGTGATCCATCGTATTGCCCGCCTTCCCTCTTCCTTTGGTCTCTGGAGGACCGTACCAGCGCCTGGGGTAGTCTCGACAAACGCTATTCCAACATGTACTATCGCCAGACGCGTAAATAGTTGCTAATCAGGCCGGAGTCTTGGGTTGGTTCGCACCAGAGAAGCTAGAGCCAACGCGGCTCCCGGTGAACTCGGGAGCCCGTTAAATTGAGGGCATTAAGCTAGTGTAGTGTAGAAACTATGGCCGAAACCGTGTAAAGTAAGAGATACGGAATGACAAGTAATGTGCAATGGAAGGTTTGACGTAGCTCTGAAGCTCGGCTCGAAACCTCCAGCCCTGTTGTGGCTGATATGGGTTTGTTTTAATTTGTATGTTGTTTTTGAAGTAGTTGAGCGCAGAGAGCGCGATGTGGAGGAAGAGACGAGCCGAGGGCAGAAAGCTAACGCGCGAGCATTGCAGAGGCGAGTAGAGCAGGGTGCTTTCTGATGTAAACCTTGAAAGCATCAGAAGACCATCTGCCCATTGCTTGGATTTGGTCAAATGGAACGCCGTCCTCTGCTAGAGCAGTAGCACCGCCAGCCCTGAGTGAATGCCCCGCAATGTTAGTGGGAAAAAGACGATGAATGTACGACATAAACCAAGACCGAGAAGGCGGAGAGCCGTTCTCGCGAAGCCAAAGTAGGGGTCGATACCTAAACTTGGAGTCACGCAAGTCGAGATAATGCATGAACGAGACGACAGGGCAAGGTGCCGCACATAGTGCAGGTACCTAAGCCCGAAGACCTCGAGCCAGCGGCATGTCATTTTGCCCGAAGATGTCGGGCCAGCGGCATGCGGCCGCTGCTGCCCCAGCACAGAGATTTCACCACTGTAGCTGGTGCCTGTCGAGGCGGCTGGCCTGCTGTTATTCTGCCGGCATTAGTGGGGTGTGTCGGGCTGGTTACACAGGGCCCCAGCACTGCCTCCGGCCACATTGATGCGTGCTCACCGTCATTTCGTCGGCCTCAGTCGGACGTGTCGGGCTGGTTACACAGGCCTCCAGCACCATTTTCCGGCCACATTGGTGCGTGCTCACCATCAATTCGTCGGCCTCAGTGGGACGTGCCGGGCTAATTACACAGGCCTCCAGCACCAT